TTTAAAAACTTATCGTCATGTTCCACAAGTGTCATTGAGCTGAAACTTGCCTGAAATGATTCTGTGGTGGCTATGACCAGCTCCTGATATTTTTCCCGAGTCGTTCTGAAATCCAATATGGCCTCTTAAATAAAACGAAAGGCCGAGAAAATCTTTGTCGCCTCTCAGTAATAACACATCGTAAAAAATGAGGAACAGAAATTACTCTCTTATTCAGGACGTTGTTTGACATGACCATGCATACTTTAGTAAATAGTAAGAAATGATCGACTTGTAAATTCATCGGTAGATAGAATTCGATAAGTCAACATCAAATGGCTACCCTTGATTAGCATATTAATGTAATTGGTAATGTTTATGGGGTAGGAAGTGCCTTGTATACTTAAATCTGTCGATATGTTTCTACATTAATTAGAAATTAAAAATTCAAGATCACTGTTGTCTTTAATACAGGACAGAGAGTGGTCTTAGAAATAAACTAGTCAAGATTAAAAAGTAAAATCACGACACGTTCACACAAACAGACAAATAAAAAGTAGATAAGTAAATAAACTGTTCTCTAATAACGTCGGGGAGAAAGTGATCTTTGTAAAACGTCCAGACTCATCAGTAAAGCTATAACACTTTCACACGAACAAAAAGCAAAAACATCGATTGAAATCATAAATGAACAAAAGCAAAAACAAAATAAATTGATGAATAACGAAGTAATAAATAAAAAATAAACAAGCAAATTCATGGAATTTATATCCCCCGCTTTCCAACCATATTGTAAGTAAAAAGCAAAAAAAAAAAAAAAAAAACTGATCGACCAATGAAATGAAAGGATACCTAATTAGTATGCAAAGATATTAACAGAAGACACTGGTAGTCAAACTCAATCTTAATGACCCCAAGATGCATCTGCTGACCAAGTTTCATCCAAATTGGATATTTGGGGAAGTTAGCACACGGAAACGAAAGTGTGACAGACGGACGAACCCAAATTAATATACCCCGTTTCGGTAAAAGCGGGGGATAATAAACGTCCTTAAAAATCCATTAATGTATATATTCTCCTTATTGGAAAAAAGGAAACAAATTTCAACATATAATAATTACTTTTTTGGGATCGATTGATCGTTGATTGCTAACGGAGTATTAAATACAATACTATCAAAACAAAGTTTAAAATTCGGTTGTTGACCCATCAGATTATTTGTAAACTACGACATGTTTTAATTAAGATTACTATACCTATTTTATCTCTTTATCACTGATAACGCATCTTTATCAGGTCGATTTTGTATCATGCACGTCTAGTTTTAATCAAACTTCATCAAGTCATCAGACGTATAAGATCACGTGACAGTTGACTACATAATCCGCAGGCCTTGTTACGTGCATACTGCATAACTGTCAAATGTCGAGTCTTCTTGTTGATTTATTATGAAATATTGTCAGCATATAAATAAACCGGACAAGTGCTTCATATGATATGTAGAGCTACTACAGATTCGGATATGATTGTAGCCTAACATTTAGATACGATGTACCGCCACAGGTAGAAGAGCTTGACGGAATTCCGCTGTTTCCACATTCTTCTACCGTAAAGTCAACATTTGTCACATGTGACCCACTTCGAGATTTAAGAGCAGATCGTCCCAGACTGAATCGTATTGTCGTGTTGATGATCAGCGCCAGAGTGTTGCACACTGCAAGGTGTTTCATGTGACGTGAGCGCATGCGAAATCAGTGTTGATTCCTCCTCTTGTCTGTGTGACGTTTTGGGATACACTAAAACCAATTTGAGAGTAAAGCTAGGACGGAAGAATATAACACAGACATCCCTGATGGATAATCCCGTGTTTGAAGGTAAGTCTAAAAATGACATTCAATAGAAATCATGGTATGTTCCTTCGTGATCGAATTTTCTGTTCTTGCAAAAAATAACTATTTCTTAATAGAGATAGACCATTGTTGATGTTAACTCCGGGTATTTCCACACACTCGATCGTCACTAGCATGGAAACACCGTGATATGTGTTACTTTTACCAGATACCCCATGTAACTATAAATGTGTAAAATCAATTTCGCAAGAAGAATAAAAAATAATTAATTATAGTGTTTCTTGAGGTGCTCTACTTTTATTAGACATTTTGAAGATTTTGTCATACATCATATTTAAATACAGATATATATACACTATCGTCGTACCTACATACAATAGTATCAAGTTTGATACACAAATAAATATGTATATTCAAATGGTATTTAAAGCTATCAGTAGGTCCTTATAGTCAGGTTATGGTCCCGTTTACATCGTTTGACAAGCCGTTTATATTATTTGGAACAACTAATCATGTTACCTGGCGATGGTTTAGGGCCCTGTTTGATACTTGTGAAGGTAACAATAAGTAAATGTAAGTGTCAATGAATGTCAGTCTTTGTTTATAATCAAAACAAAAAAATATATACCTATGTACGTATGTAAACAATGCTTATACACTTGTTTACCCCGCACAAGTCATAATAACAAATGTGCTGCAGATATGTTTATCTGTTTATATCTACCACCACCCCGTATATATGCGTAGGGTAAACTAGGCTCTAACTTCATATCAAGACAAATGTATCTTTATATATGCAAGAGACAGAAACTAAATATTTTGATATATGTGCTTAACTTAATCAGTTTTTTGATACACATCCTTATAAGACATCAATACTGTATTATATGTACCTGTGATAACATATATCTTGAGATGTACAGGTGTAAGACATATATATCAAAGTATTTGTACTTTTATTAACAAATGGTTTTTTTTATATTTGCACGTGTAAAACATAAATATATCAATAAAAACGGATATCTTAATCATATTTCACAGTCAAAAATAATTATCAGATCACACACAAGAAATTATAAACTCAGTGTTCATATATACATTCATCAAATTAATTTAGCACTGCATAAGGACACACTGCATAAGAATTTAACCCAATGAATAAACGAAAAGATAAGAGAATGTTTAGAGTATAATAAATGTAATGTAAAAGCCAGATTTCTTTTTCCTACAAAATATGGAAAGTTAGTGATTTTTTTCCAAAACATGTAGAATTCAAAGAAAATAAGAGAAAAATATTGTTTTATAAGGAAAACCAAGATCAGTTTTGTAAATACACCTATTACAAACCTGGTTATCATAGTGACACAAGTAGTTTTATCTCCGGCAAGATGACTGAATAAACAAAGAAGGATTTATCGTCACAGGTCATTGAGTCAGTGGTCTTGTAACAACTAAGTCTTATCCGTATGTCCAGGATATGACTGTCTGAAAGCATTCATTATCTCAGATATGACAACACAATTCCGGTTTTCGGTGACTACGCCTCTGTGTGCATTGCTTTTATCTATTATTCGTATATCTTACACACTAATTCACCACTGGTATCGATCTCCATGGCTGTCTCTATATAAAATTGTACTGTAACATGTGTATAATCTTTTCGGTTTGTTTGAAGTTATTTCCTTTTCGGATCGCTGTGTGTTTCACCAGTTGATGGTTCTAATGACCTTTTGTTGATGGGCCGTTAAGAATGTAATGACAAGTGTACTAGTAGTATTATGTCGTAATATTTAAAGAGTCCAATGTCACAAAAGTCTTCACAAAAGGAGTATACTCACCTTAACAAAGTTCACTATATCCTTCACTAGAAAACATTGTACAAAAGACACACAAGTGAATAGCACTTTTTCATAATTAGTGCAAGATACAGTAGAGCCAAACTATTAACTAAACTGCTTCCTACAGCTGTTTCGTCCTTCCAGGACTCGTCAGTGATTCTAAGGACCTAAATATTGAAGCCTAGGAGGCGACTAGGGAAAAAAGTGATCAAAAGAAAACTCCAAATCTGGACAGCAGCAGTCCCATAATTGAACAAATTTCATAACTTCCATACATCAGATAATTTTAGAGTAGCATACATACGATTTCATTCGGTGTGGTGTGATCATATCTTATTTTTAAAAAAATACCAAAATAGCTAAATTAAAAAAGAAAAAAAACTCATCAACAGTCTGTCGTTAAAGTAAACTTAAAGTAGAAAATCGTGTTGTTTGATGTCTTTTTATAAAAAACAAATAATTATAAAAATATTGAATATGCTTTTAGAATTCGTTAATCATTTATTGGATAGATACATTACTCATTTTTGCAATGAAATGGTCACATGTTTATGTGGTCTTGACATCTAGATTTTATTGATTTTAAAAAGCATATTTTTAATAAATGCTTTTATTTTTTGTTTATTCTTGTGTGTTTTTTTTGTGTGTGAGGGTGTGTGGTTGTGTTTGTGTTGTGGGAGGATGTGAGCATTTGTGTGTATATATATATATATATGTATATACATATATGGTGGTGTGTTTATGGAGGTTGTGGCGTGTGGGGGGAGGGGGAGTGTGTGTATGTGTTGGTATGTCCTGGGGATAGTGAGTGTGTGTGTGATGGTGGTGTGTGTGTGGAGGGGTGGTGGGTGTTGGTTGAGTGTGTGAATGTGCATTTGGTGGCATGTGTGGGGGAAAGTGAGTGTATGTGTGTGTGTGTGTGTGTGTGTGTGTGTGTGGTGGTGGTGGTGTGAGTGGTGTTGTTTCGGCTTTCGGCTTAGGTTAGTTTTTAATCTTACATCTTTAAATCATTTTGATTGATTTCACATTTTCCCTGAGTGTTCATGACTACTTGCAAACAACTTTAACCCATGATTTTATCTCTAATCTATATTCAATAATCCCTACTTTTTTAAGTACCCAACATGTCCTGCTTCCATGTTAAATTGGAACTAAAGTTACTTTGACACCCTTTTCCGTCTCTGTAAAATATATCCGCTGTAGTATGTCTATCATCACTATGGCATATAAGTAGGAGAATTGTTGTGTATTACAACTGTATTTGTGTGTAAACCACTTTAATATATTGTATGGATGCAAGAAATAAGCACTCAGAAATCTGTATTTGCGGATATGTCAGAAGAAGGTATGTTTTTGTCGCAAAGACATTTAACTTTCGTACACTATTATGGAGTGAAACTTCCAAATGGCACTCTTCAACTCTGTAATGGTGACCTTCCAGACTAATTACCTGTTATCGTTTGTATTTAAACAATGTTTGACACGGCCGGCTTCTGATCTTCAATCAACTGCCTTTTTATAAAGTCCAAAGCAGCTTAAACCATGCGGATATATTTGTTATCTAGGTTACATAAAATAGAACACATACTTGACTATACCAAAGACTGGAAAGAAACCTAGTTCGGTCCGAGGGTTATCTTACTATCGGATAAAGAACGGAGCTTAAGAGGCATTTTGGCTTCTTTAACGTGTATTGTGAACACAGAAACGTGTGGTTTATCTTAAAACTTATTCGAGACTGTATTAGTGTATAAAACATATCTGTATATTACTGTACTTAACATATCGGTATATCAGTGTATTAAACATATCTGTATACTTGTGCAATAAACATATTTGTATACTAGTGCAATAAACATATCTGTATATGAATGTATTGAACATATTTGTATACTAGTTTATTAAACATATCTGTATATGAATGTATTGAACATATATGTATACTAGTTTATTAAACATATCTGTATATTAATGTATTGAACATATATGTATACTAGTTTATTAAACATATCTGTATATGAATGTATTGAACATATTTGTATACTAGTGCAATAAACATATCTGTATATGAATGTATTGAACATATATGTATACTAGTTTATTAAACATATCTGTATATGAATGTATTGAACATATATGTATACTAGTTTATTAAACATATCTGTATTTGAATGTATTGAACATATTTGTATACTAGTGCAATAAACATATCTGTATATGAATGTATTGAACATATCTGTATACTTGTGCAATAAACATATCTGTATATGAATGTATTGAACATATTTGTATACTAGTGCAATAAACATATCTGTATATGAATGTATTGAACATATATGTATACTAGTTTATTAAACATATCTGTATATGAATGTATTGAACATATATGTATACTAGTTTATTAAACATATCTGTATTTGAATGTATTGAACATATTTGTATACTAGTGCAATAAACATATCTGTATATGAATGTATTGAACATATCTGTATACTTGTGCAATAAACATATCTGTATATGAATGTATTGAACATATTTGTATACTAGTGCAATAAACATATCTGTATATGAATGTATTGAACATATATGTATACTAGTTTATTAAACATATCTGTATATGAATGTATTGAACATATTTGTATACTAGTTTATTAAACATATCTGTATATGAATGTATTGAACATATTTGTATACCAGTTTATTAAACATATCTGTATTTGAATGTATTGAACATATCTGTATACTTGTGCAATAAACATATTTGTATACTAGTTTATTAAACATATCTGTATATGAATGTATTGAACATATTTGTATACTAGTTTATTAAACATATCTGTATATGAATGTATTGAACATATATGTATACTAGTTTATTAAACATATCTGTATATGAATGTATTGAACATATTTGTATACCAGTTTATTAAACATATCTGTATTTGAATGTATTGAACATATCTGTATACTTGTGCAATAAACATATTTGTATACTAGTTTATTAAACATATCTGTATATGAATGTATTGAACAAATATGTATACTAGTTTATTAAACATATCTGTATATGAATGTATTGAACATATATGTATACTAGTTTATTAAACATATCTGTATATGAATGTATTGAACATATTTGTATACTAGTTAATTAAACATATCTGTATATGAATGTATTGAACATATTTGTATACTAGTTTATTAAACATATCTGTATATGAATGTATTGAACATATATGTATACTAGTTTATTAAACATATCTGTATATGAATGTATTGAACATATTTGTATACTAGTTTATTAAACATATCTGTATATGAATGTATTGAACATATTTGTATACTAGTTTATTAAACATATCTGTATATGAATGTATTGAACATATTTGTATACTAGTTTATTAAACATATCTGTATATGAATGTATTGAACATATATGTATACTAGTTTATTAAACATATCTGTATATGAATGTATTGAACATATTTGTATACTAGTTTATTAAACATATCTGTATATGAATGTATTGAACATATTTGTATACTAGTTTATAAACATATCTGTATATGAATGTAATGAACATATATGTATACTAGTTTATTAAACATATCTGTATATGAATGTATTGAACATATATGTATACTAGTTTATTAAACATATCTGTATATGAATGTATTGAACATATTTGTATACTAGTTTATTAAACATATCTGTATATGAATGTATTGAACATATTTGTATACTAGTTTATTAAACATATCTGTATATGAATGTATTGAACATATATGTATACTAGTTTATTAAACATATCTGTATATGAATGTATTGAACATATTTGTATACTAGTTTATTAAACATATCTGTATATGAATGTATTGAACATATTTGTATACTAGTGCAATAAACATATCTGTATATGAATGTATTGAACATATTTGTATACTAGTGCAATAAACATATCTGTATATGAATGTATTGAACATATTTGTATACTAGTGCAATAAACATATCTGTATATGAATGTATTGAACATATATGTATACTAGTGCAATAAACATTTCTGTATATGAATGTATTGAACATATATGTATACTAGTGCAATAAACATATCTGTATATGAATGTATTGAACATATATGTATACTAGTGCAATAAACATATCTGTATATGAATGTATTGAACATATTTGTATACTAGTTTATTAAACATATCTGTATATGAATGTATTGAACATATTTGTATACTAGTTTATTAAACATATCTGTATATGAATGTGTTGAACATATTTGTATACTAGTTTATTAAACATATCTGTATATGAATGTATTGAACATATCTGTATACTTGTGCAATAAACATATCTGTATACTAGTTTATTAAACATATCTGTATAATCCACCTAAAAAGAGGCACAGTTAATTCCCCATAGGTATGCCAATGGTCTGTTGGAAGATCTTAACTCCTAATTCGTTGACGATGTTGTAAACCAGAATCTCATTTTCATGATTCTGTCCTCCGCATATTTCATTTTTTGATTTGTACAGTATAGTTTACAACCATATCTTTGTACCGCCGTTCACCTTTCTTGGAAAAGAAAGATTTCATAACAAAAGAACGAAGACGTTCTTTCAGTTTAGGATGGGTGTGGTGGTGAACATATCAAATTTTCCAATAGAAGAAGGGTGTTGAATTTTGTTCTAAACACTTTCTTTGTAATCCACACACTATTACTCCACATCACAATGGGACTGTAACATATATTTGATAGTGCTAAGAACAGTGGTTAGCAGGTCTGACAAAGATTTGGTTAGGCAGTTAGATCTGCCAGCAAGTAAACGTTATTTATACGGATTGTTGTGAGGGAATTCATTATAAACATGGGAGATCCGTATCATTCTCTCTAATAGGTAAACTAAATGCTTTTGAAGCATGATTAGCCTTTCGTAAACTGGGGTTTCCTTCACTTTGTTATCAAGCAAACCTAGTTCTTTTTGTAAAAGTTCGACAAAAGCTAGATTACTAAATTCAGATTTATGTAAATAGCATCCATTTTCAAACCTTATATTCCTTGAACCATTTCTCTTCAGTCAGGAAACAAAACAATCTTAAAACGACTTCTGGTAAAATCAATTGAAATCAAGTTCTTGGAATGTCGTCGAGTCATTTTGCCCTAACGTCACAACCTACAATTATGAGTAAACGGTATGGTACAAACAACACACGCTTAAAATTAAATGAGAATGGTGTGGTTTTAACAAAAGATGAGAGAAAAGTTCACAGCAAGTGTTCAAGTATTATATATCCGAATCTAATACTTAGGTAGAGATGAGATTCTTTTCACAGTAGCGACGTTTATGATATCTTGTTGCAACAAGCAAATACAAAAAAAAAGTTTTACTTCTGTTTGCCTATCTCGAGAAGTTGAACTAGGCTCACAATACCCTCAATATGTTTCTCTTCTAGGCAACTACATAAATGTTATCAGGTACGAAATAGATTTTGTCATAACCTAGTAAAGGTACAATAACGTAATTCTCACTACAGTTATTGTATTATTTGTCATCTTATTGTTGGAAAAGTTAATGTAGCTCTATGATGCACTTCATTATTAATAAGTCAATATTTGGCTCCACTGTATATAATTAGAAGTCCACATGAACTAAAATGTCAATGTCCGTTTTTATCTGTTGATCATTTTGTGAGCATATAGATTCACGGGTTAGCAATATCCACGAAATCAACGAAAGTAAAAACTCATGTGGACAAATAATTTGTATGTGTTTCGTTTTAATTAAGTAACACCGAAAGGTGGGACATCAAAACCATCATTTAAAAAAGAAGAAAATTGAAAACTTATTTATGACAGCGCTTGGGACAATGAGTGTGAATGACTGACAGACACACAGACAGACACGCAGAGAACAGAGAAAACATTCCTTTCGCGTAGCACGAGATTATAATACATATATATATATGTCTGTTAGAACAAAAATAATTTTGACGATATTTACGTTTCAGATGATTCTAAAGATTCAAACGGCGACATTCGCAAAAGAGTCAAAGAGCTGCCTCAGGATGAAAAAGATGTAAATGTCAAACCGTCCACAATCAAGCTCAAGAAACACGTGGGCCTCGTCAGCGGCACTTCTTTCATTGTAGGGACAATAATCGGTAATATTGTCTTTGACAGAAATGTTGACTATTTTTGTTGGACCAGATATGTCTTCTCAGTCATTACTATCATGCAATTACAATAAAGCTTAAGTTTCAATCAATAGATTTCAATGCCGAAAATGTCACTTTTTCTTCAGATGATTTAAAGTACATTACAAAATAGTGATTTTGTTAGCGCATGCGCAAATTTGGTCCTGTTAAAATTTTCTTTTGGGAAAGCTAAGCTTTGGTACTTTGTGTCTTCCTGAAAGGAGGACAATACATCTTATGAACAAAACGGTCTTAATGATAAATATAACAAAATTCAAATCAGCATTTATCTCTTGTTTTAGCCTTTTTATTTTATAATTCTCATCTTCAGTGGTTCATTTCTTGATATTTAATTACAGTGGAGCTTCAAACAAGAATTGTCTTCATAAAGGACAATAACATGGAAATAAATCAGTAATATCATTATTGTGAGCATACTTTGTAAGTTTGATTATAAATCGTATTTTGATGAGTTAGCATATTTCTATTTAATCAACTTGTTTTGTTCGTTTTGTTCCTAGGATCTACCTCTATCCCTATATAGGTTTATATCATTTTTATGTGTTCATCCTTATATTTCTTCTTTTATTTGGACGTATGTTCACGAAATACACTGCATGATATTTCAGAATCATAAATTGTACCGCCATGCACCTTTCTCAGAAAAGTAAACTCACATATCAAGAGAACGTACGTGTTCTTTCAGACAAAAATGGGTAAAGGTGATGTGGCAAAATCAATGGGTCTTATAAAAAGCAACAATAAAACGCCGTTTATATTGTGGATTCTTGTGAAGTTTAGGAATCAAATATAAACGATGGTAGTGGGGGCTCGTTTCCCTGTCATTTACAGGCAATCCAAATAGTTGTAATAAATAGCCGTATTAGGTTAGTTTTTTCTGGAAAGTTTGGATATGTGGGTTTCCTTCGTCATCAAGCAAGCCTGGTTCTTTTTGCATGCAAGAAATGTAATAATGTCTGCAGACAAAAATCAAGTTGTTGGATGCCTTCACTGTAGGCACAATAACAAACATTGAAGTGTAGATTTAACATCAGGATCTCAAGCTGTTCATTGTTTTAAGAGTGATGGACGGAATGGATTTAACCCAATCCAAAAATAAATGCAAACAAATGTTTTGTTTTAAATTGCAATTGGCTCGGAGTAACCAAGAAATCATAGGGGTATTTCTGCTTTGAAATTATGGTGGAATGTAAGCTTGAACAGATTTCTAGTATAAAATATTGCAGATGTTAATAACATCCACTCCTATTGCATCTAGCTGAAAAAAGGGACACGACTGGCAGGAAATGAGACTTGTTGCATGTTTGTATTTCTGTCATGGTCCTAAATAGAAGCATTATATAAACATCTACTGAAATACTGAAACAATCTCTTTGTTTGCATTTTTTATGGGTATGTGAAGAAAAGTATGCTGAGATTTTCCGTTCAAATCATAATTGTGTAACTGCTGAGCATGCCCATTCGTCTTCAAGGTATAATGAGATTCTCCGTTAAAATCACAATGAAGATTTATTTCTGGTTCAAGATTAGTTTTATCAGAGGTGTCTCATATCAATGTGCAAAACCTACGACATTATAAACTGAGTATCATTAAAAGAGGTGAAATATATTGACTCCAAGCCGATGCTGACACTATAAAAGATTTATATTTAATTGTCTTGTGCGCGCTTTTCTGCAAAGATTCACTAACAGAAACAGAAATGATAAAAGAGAATACTTGTTTGTAATTGATTATGAGACAGCATAAAAGACATTCGTGATAGCACTTACCATACATGAATGCACGGACGTAAAGACACGATGCAAAAGAGCCTGAATAAGAAATGATTTAAACCAATGTGTCGTCGTGGTGAAGATATGATTTCAGGAGTGAGCGTTTTATAAGTTACAATACGTTAATAGTTGTGACTGGTCCTCCTTTTTACGTCAATGCACTATTTTTAAATAAAACTTAATTTCTTACAGTTATCGATATATCAATATCTTTTCTACAGGATCCGGGATTTTCATCTCCCCTAAAGGTGTATTGATGGAGACTGGTTCGGTTGCCCTCAGTTTGATCGTGTGGGCCGGGGCGGGGTTGTTGGCTCTCATGGGTAAGAAAATACTTTTAAAAACTTCTGCAGAAATAAATTCATATTAATTATTCTAATTGACCCGGACAGAGGAGTGCGAGGGACTTGCTGTGAGAGGAAAGCGGATTAACTAGGAAAGCCCAGGTAGTCGGACTCCATACTTTTTCATGTCCGATCGGGGAGGACTGCCTTCACTTTCGACAATATGTGTCAGTAGCTCTACTCTTTCATTTCTGAGTAGTACATGTTTTCTTAATACAATATCATAAAAAAAAACGTGCATTGTAGTAAATCCTGGCATCTTCTCTCTATGCATATTGTATGCTTGTGCTTTAATATCTTCAAAGTTTTACATATACATACGTACTTCTTGTGTCCTCTCTGTGATGCTAAATTCTTATAACATTTACAGATGTCGCTCTATGTTAAATCACCTTGATATAACGACAAATTCTAAACTGTGATACTGTTGTGTTACTATTCTATTACCGTATAACTATCAATTTTTACAGGCAAAAAATTTGGAGATTTTCTTTTAAAATGATCGAATTTCAACTTTCGCGATCTGGATATTAAGGGATACATAAAACAAACGTCTCGATATTTCGCGGAGTCGCGATCACATTAATGTACTGTGAAATAGAGAAAAAACCATCCCCAAATAACCGGCTTTACGATATCATTTACAAAAGTTGGCTATACCGATATTTTATCTCATTTTTAAGCTGCTACTACAAAATAATCGTCAGTCAGCTCAGGCTATCTGTAAGTCAATCTAAAAATAGAGAATCGCGATCACAGGTGAAGACTTGAGTAGCATGGTGCATGCCAAGGACAGATTAGTTTCTTCCGGGAGGCTAGGAAAATGATCCTCCGTACTGTTGTAGTTGTGTCCATAAGATGAACACTTTATCATATTTGCTATGAACAACATCCGCATGTTGAACAAAGGGGTAACTACCAGCTGCTACAATCTGACAATCACTCTGGCTGTTCGTAAGGCGATTAAACGGTCAAACTCCATACATTGTATCAATGATTTATTTTCATTCACGTCTATGAAATAAATACTTTTCACGTCATAATGTAAGAAAGGACAAGAGTACAGTTTAGGTGTAGGTGATTTTTAGGACAAATATTCAATATACTGAATGAGGTTTAATTTACCGATCGTGACAAATTATTACAGATGAAATATCTCGGTACCCAACAAGATCTGATCTTCATGAGCTATATTTTTCTTGTCAGATACTATTTACTTTTATACAATCTTATTTCATTATATCAAAACTGACACCTGACACAAGGAGTAAGTATCAAAATAGTGCTTTTCAGTGACTGTAAATCATATCACCTGCAGACCAGTGATTAGTTCAAGGTCTCTCAAGACCCCTGTAAAACAGCAGGTGTTTTTTATTATTATATATTTAAGTCTTTTTATTGCTTTTATTGCCCTCAATAGAACCAGACTTTTAATAAATTAATCTCAGTAGCACTTTTACTATGTCTGAACTAAAGTAACCTTAAATATGATTTGACACGAGCACCTGTTTCCACAACAGTGAAAATTCAGTAATACTATTTTGTATTTTATATATTAAAGACAAGACCACGCTCTCTTTAGATCTTATCCACATTTTCCCATCTACAAGCTAAAACATGTTTATGTATTAATGTTTTTAAGTATAAATTTTGCATAGAAGTCGAACACGTGCTTCGTGGAGTTAATACTCTTAATGAACAAATTTATATGCTCTCGAATAAGTTTAAATTGTAGGTGTACCTATTTATCTATTTTGATGACAACTATTCATCGATGAAATCAAGTGCCGATGAAGTAGTAACTGGGTGAAAACCACGAAATTTGTGACATCCCCCCTCCCACCCACTCAGAAACATATAAAGTAATATCAGAGTACATGAGTATGCTAAATCAGTTTCATATTTTTATGTTATACAATGTTTGGAACTATCTTAAATGGTATTTACGAATACTTCAGTATAGAATAAATTGTTTTCTGTTTTAATATTGTTTATTCCAATAAAGTATTTTGGCGGACTTTTTTCAATTCCGGATGTTTGTCGATACACTTCATGGCAATTTGAAATGATTACAAATAGTGACACCGGCACCACATATATTTGTTCATTTATCATGATTTCCAACTTTAAAAAAATGATAACATAAGTATGAATTATTTGGTCAGTGCACCTTTCTGTCTATATTTTAACTGGTACCTAGGCTGGATTTGGATATTGTCGCTCTGGATTATTCATACTCGTTGATAGCCTGCTATATACTGTAAACAAATTTGTACAGAAAAAGTTTTGTTCGTAAATCTATCCATTTATCTTGCAAAGTTCGATGTACTTTTGCAACTGTCATTATCTAATATACTACAAATTTTTGTCAAAACTCTTTTGGACCTCACTTAAAACGGTGCTTCATGTTCACTTTCAAAATTAATTTAAACTTCTTATAAAGACATTATATTTCACTTCAAAAGATATTTTGTAATTTCAATATTGTCATTACCCTGCTTATCACTTGACTTTTTTTATTCCAAATTCTATGACTTATTTTGTAAATGCAACAAGAATTTAACAAAATTAATTTCATGACTTTGTGTCTTTCCCATGCACTGTTTTACAAAAACAAAGGCTCTCTGTGTTATGCGGAGTTGGGTACACTTATCAGGAAATCTGGCGGAGAGTATCAGTATATCAAACAAGCCTTTGGAAACATCCCCGCGTTTTTATACGCGTGGACGTCAATAATTGTCATCAGAACGTCTTCTATGGCTATCATTTGCCTCACCTTCGGAGAATATGTGGCAACATTCTTCCCTTACTGCGGCAACCCGGATCTTCCCATGAAACTAGTGGCATCGCTAGCCATAGGTAAGTTTATCATTCTTCCAGAGTAATCACTACATTTTTTATTTTGGCCAAAGTAGAAATGATGAAGCATTCTAGACGTCAAGAAACGACAATTTAATTTTCAATGTAAAATGTGTCATTATTCACGGTTTTATTTCATCCTCGAAAAAGCGAAAAGTAGAAGTTCTTGAAAATGATAACCTTCACAGTACCAATCTGAAAGCATTTGTTCAAAGGGCATAGTCTAAAAAGATTTTTCGGGTTATTAGACTCAAGGGAAAACAATTTCCTCAAGAGTGGTTAAACTTAACCGATAAAATAATCAACCTTGTTGATCTACTCTAAACTATAAAGACTAATTGTCCCTTTTTACAAAATTTTCAAAGTCATGTATATGTGAAAACTATTTGTATAGGGTTCTCGAAAAATCATTTCTCACCAGTTACGGTATTATCCTTTTAACAGTCTGTTAATGTGACTGTGGAGGCAAATCATTGACATTTCGTATCAAACACGTCCTATTTTTCAGTGACCCTGGCAATTATTAATTGTACGGATGCTCGACTAGCCACCAGAGTACAGGTGTTTTTCACTGTTGTCAAATTGGCCGCTCTTCTCGTTATCTCCATCGGAGGAATAGTCCGCATGGCACAAGGTAAAGTGACAATATCAATAAAGATGTTCACAACGGTAAAGAGAAATAAGACCAGGTGTTTCGGCAGAACTATTTTTTTACAATTTCAGACGCACTATTCATGCAAGATATATGATAAGTCCGACAACAAAAACCAAGAAAGCAAATAAGCAAAAAATAGAAATAATACGAATATGTGTATTTATATTGATATATATGTGTGTGTATATAATTTTTAAAATGACAGTTACCGCGTATGCCCTCCGTAAATGAAGTTAAACTTGAAATGAAGTTTTCAACCGTGGCTCTCAATATCGTAGCTAGCTTTTTAAATTGGTCGTTATAGTATTCTAGTGATCCCATTGAGTAATATACCTTTTTGTGCGACAAAAAGCCGGATATGTTTGCTGGTTTTCATTTTTGCTGTTGGTTCCGTTGTTCGTTGCTGTACACCTTGAGAACCTGACATTACTAACTTGGCTTGACCAAAATTTTCTTGTTGGAGCACATGGTCATATTCTCCTTTTTCGGAAGTCTCCCTTTCCTTTTTTCTTTTTTTACATTTAATTCTATTGAATTGAAGTTTGGATCATAAGTATGCCCGCGTGTTGGTACTTTATTTTTTCTTTAACAAACGGACTGATGGGATATATCAGAACTATATCAAACCTCGGGGAACAGGACAGGTCCAATATTTCTTTGGCCTGTGATTTCGTGGATAAACAGCATTCACGAAATCTACCAGTACTAAAATTGAACAAGATGAACACATATTTCATTATTTCGTAGCCTTTTGAATCCCTTGATTAAGAGTTCCATCTTAGTCAACGACAATAAAATCTTTCGAAAATATAATTATGCTACTGTGATTTTAACACATACTTATACACAGAATGTATCATTCATAGCAAAACGAAAACCAAAAAAATGTGTTGTTGCAGTCAATCAGTGCAATATTTCCTAGCGGAATTGTAATTTGCTGAATGCTCCAATTATGACGTCATCGCTTCATGGCGTCATTTACATTGTTACGTCACCAAAGAAAGACAATTTATAGTTTACATCAGTCTAATAAAATACTGCTTTCAGAAATGTTTGCAAAAGTATGTGATGAACATAAACATTTATATGAGTTTAATGAACCGTGTAGATTTCTTTTTATCTGGTCAGATGTTCGGTACAATGATAATTTCTAGGACTCGGTTCATGAAATCTCGTATGAATGGAAAATGTTAAAAACTTCGTATATATGGTCCTCTATTCACAGTCTGTCAAACTTTCAGGGCATGTCACGGAGCTGAAACGTGGATTTGAAGGGACTACAAAGTCGCCATCTACTATAGCGTTAGCATTTTATGACGCCCTTTGGTCATACGACGGTTGGTAAGTATATGATTAGAATAGAAGTTCTTAAAACACCTTGACCAAGTGACCAATGTGGAGCGTACTAGCACTAACGAATATAGTGTACGAGACAGGAATCGCCCAACTTTTTCTTCTGTACTATAATTCTATGTACACTAAGGACGGAAAATAGTGTGACGAGATGGTAAACAGAATACAAACCAAAAGATACAACAAATTGGTACCAATATACTGTAGTTAATATTTGCTTATTTCTTATTTAGAGAATAATTACCTTTCGGTATACGATTTGGATTTGGAAAATGACCGACTACAGTGTTAGTTATTGCATCCTTTTTCTTCCAGGAACAACCTGAACTATTTGACAGAAGAAATCAAAAACCCTAAAAAGTAAGTATTCTTTTATGAGACTGTGATATGAATGATGGACATTGCAATATATTTCATAAGTATTATGATATTATTTTTTTCTGTTGACACCAATCTAATTGTGGGTACTCACTTTATGTTCTTTAATAAATTGATAACCATTTTGAGTAACCTAAGAAAATAACATGACCATTCTGTATTTGATATCGTTACTAACGATTTCAAAATATTCTTATCAACTTTTCATAACATACAATATGTATTAAGTCGTTGTTACAGCAGACGCAACCCATTATGCAACATAGTATGAGCTCTGTATTTGAGATCCGGTATAGATTGAATGCAATGCATGTTTATAACATATGGCTGAACATTATCAAAATTAAGTGCTCGTCAGTAAATCCTTCCTTAGATATATTTAACAACACAATGATTCCGAATCAAATGCAAAGGGAAATACTGAAATGTAAACAGAATCATAATACAAACACAAAATTAATGACAACGTGGCAAAATAAGGGCAATAAAAAGATAAAAAGATTTGAACGAAGGGTCCTGAATAGGAGAATAAGACCAGGTGTTCAGAAAGGGTAAGCATCGTCTGATTCGTAGACGATACCCTCCATGTGAATCAAAGTAAGTGACTTTCCCAGGTCCATTATCACTGTTGTATATGGAGGATTTTAAATTGTTAATTAAATACACAGAAATGTTTTTGAGCCGATTGAAAAGTGAAACTAGCATTTATTCAATATGAATGATAACATTTTCTAAAGGAATTTACCTCGTGCCAACATAGCTGGTGTTCTTCTTGTGACCGTTATATACCTACTGACCAACATGTCTTATCTGACCGCAATGACGTCTGCAGAACTGCTAGCTTCCGATGCTGTGGCTGTGGTAGGTAACAGTAACTGTAAAGGTTTGCTATAACTGAAGGGCTTGATTTCCGTTGTTTTCGAGGTTGGACTAAAATTGTGGGGAAAATCAACATTTAAAATAACATCAGTAATTCTAGTTCTCGTGAACTCGTAAATCTTTCATGTTTTTTATGACTTTTTATTGAAACATTTGAATCATTGAAGAAAAAACTAGATAAAATATTGTGCTATAAAATAAAAACATGATATCACTTATAATTTTACAGTGTTTCATAAACATCCTTCAACATAAGAAACATGACTTTAGGTTATCTACATACAAGCTGCTAGAATGTCAACAGTCCAACAGTCTTATGGACATTCTGTAACTGTATAATATCATTTTTTGTGGGAGATTTATTGTCATTGATTTCATAAGTACTCGTTATCCACAAATTAACGTGTGCATCATCTGTTAAATTAAGTTTAAGAAGAAGACTAATTAAGCTCTGTTTATCCCCAATCTTTTTGTCCGCCAATATATTTTGTTCGTCTTTATATTTTGAAACAAAAATTAGTCTTCACGAAAACATATGGTTTTACAGTATGCATTTTTGCAGGAAATAAAAGACATTTATACATACCTCGTCCATACTATTCTAGTATCAGAGAACGGTATCATTTATCGTCTTCTCTTTTGTTGCTTAGACTTGGGGTGACCGTGTCTTAGGTTCTGCGGCCGTATTGGTACCGCTTTCCGTCCTCTTTTCTACATTCGGGTCCGCCAACGGAACATTATTCTCTGGCGGCAGGTACATCTCATGATATTTGGTTCAATGTGTGTTGATTTAAGACAAGTTTAATTATAACCTGATTTAAACTTCGAAATATTTCTGATAAAATTATCTTTTGTAATTGAAATACATGAACGTAAATTTGTTGCTCAGAGAATTGATTAGTTCATGATCATTTAGAAAAACTTGTTTAGTAATTACATCGACAGTCTCCTTGCAACAGAGTTTACAGATTTATATGTTGTGTCAAATTAATAATTTTCTTGACATTTGTTTCTTTTCCGTGTTGTAGAGTAGTTTACGTTGCAGCTAGAGACGGGATGCTGCCAGAAATGTTATCTTATGTAAACTGTAAACGCTACACACCCGTGCCATCCATTTTGTTCACGGTAAGTCTCTGGCTTGGAGAACATATTACCCTGTCACACTAAAAGATCATACATCATGATGGGGCTCAAATCACGGTTTGATTTCAATTTAGTTTATTAGAGTTTGAATCCTTCTTACAAAGTCCTCATTGCCGTAAATATTCGATCATCAGGGCTAACTCTGTTTTTTTCATCCCTAGGCTATCATCTCCATCATCATGGTATTCCCAGGAAATCTGTCAGAACTCATTGATTTCTTTAGTTTCACCGCTTGGATCTTCTATGGCGTTACAGTTTCCTCCCTTATTGTCAGCAGGTTCACAATGAAAGATGCAGAGAGAGTATTCAAGGTGAGTAAAACAGTCCAATAGCTTATGTTATGTCAAAAGACAGTTTGAAAATGTACAATGAAAGGCAATACCTGTGTTGTCTTTTGTTTGGATTAAAACAATGTAGGGAAATTTATTTACCAATCCCTCTTACTCGCCTGTTATTTTGCTCATATTTTGCTGTCGTCGGGTTGCCAATTTGGATTTGGAGGTTTGACATGTCGGTTCTCTGTTTTTTAACAGTCCATAGCGTTTGCAATAAAAAACATCAAGAAGATGCTAACATGTCAACATAATCATAATCCAATTCGATAAACTTAAAAATAAAAAATAAGAACAAAAGAAATATTTGCGTGGAGTGCAAGGAGAATAAAACCAGGTGCTCCGGAAGAGTTAATGTCTTCTGTTTCATCGACGACAACCGCAAAGTAAACTTTGGTCAATCCAAGCAAGTAATGTCACGTTCTCAAACGAGAACAATGTGTACAACAAGAGAACCAATGGGCAAATTAACAAGCATCAAAAACGTCCAGCTTATCTCACGCAAAAGAATAGATTCTTCCTAAGTGAGATCTAATTTCAGTTTGATTTCAATCTAATTTAATGTGGGGACTTCCTATCTTCTCGTAACACAGATTTATTCCTTTCATGGTTAAATGTTCAAAGCATTAAAGAATATTACCTTTTGAATAGCATTGGTATGGTCTCATTTTCATATTCTATAAGCTGGTCTGTTTTTTCTTTAATGTCATTACATCTTATTCTTAGAAAGGACAGCATCTTACTATATATAAGATCTGAGTCATTTTTATAAGAACACATACATACAAAATAAATAGCTGTCCTGATTATGAATTCATTTTAGTACTTCAAACATTTAGGTGACATGTTGTATGGATGCATAGGGTGCGTTGGTGTCCTTGTTTAACTCTGTATATGGCGTGACACACTGTAATGATTACTTCGAATTATTAGAGAATGAAAATGCTGAGGTGTTTCGGATATGGTCAGAATGACAGCTATCCTTACTAACCTTTTACAATTGCCTTATTATGTAGGTACCTCTACCGATCCCCATACTGTTTGTACTGCTGTCGATTTATCTGGTTATCGCTCCCATAGTACAGAGTCCTAGGATTGAGTTCCTCTACGCCTTTCTTTTCATCATTGGTGGACTCATTTTCTACATTCCTCTCGTCCACTTTAAATTAAACATTCCTTTTTGGGGTAAGTATATTTATTACTTTGTATGGGTAAGTGGTAATTAAAGTATCTGCTTATCACAATCAGAACTATGTGAAAAGCTAGATATAACAATTACACTAAATTCTGATCGGATATGTCCGTATATATTACATGTACATATGTTTTCGAATTAGACAGAAGATCGTCACTCAAATAACATGAGACAAAATATAATATGTCGCCAAATAACATATGACCTTCACATTTCTAAAATTTAGAACAATCGAACCATATCAACCCCTGAATATTGTACAAAAGAACATCTTTTAATACCAATCTAAGTAAGAAACCGAACCTTACAGTATCTTTGGGACTCGTCAATGAAATAGGTCTCATGGGGAATAATTTGTGATATTCTAATTCCGTGTCTGTTATATCGACAACATCCCCAAGAACCATTATCGGATTGATGCAAATATTCGAAATAACCATGCTTGTTTTAATTCTTTATCGTTATTACGCTATGCATAAGATACTTTCAATGATTGTTAATAATATCTAATCAAATCTTTAAATGCTGATGATTACAATAGGTGATCATATTTATTCTAATGAAAGATTCATGTGATATAGTAGATCAGATAAATTCATCTCCGTTCCTTATTGGTGCATCGATAGTTACAGTACAGTTACAGTGTGTGCGTTACCTTTGAACAATATCGACTTCCCAGACATTTATCGGGATATCATGTGCATGTATATATATATTCATATTTATTTTACAGGGAAAATATCCACGTTTTCGCAGTTACTTTTTGAGGCTGTCCCAAGCCCCTTTATACCTGATGAGTAGGGCAAGTGCTCCAGACATTATAAATAGTTATATAGAAATCAGCTGATAAAGATTATATATCTATGTATTAAAATGTGTCTGTTTTTTTTTTTTTTTTTTTATCTGTGGTCATAAAACAGGAATAATGTTTATTTTTCGCAAGTGAGCAAACATCGAAATGAACGTAATATATTTTGCCTTCGTATCTGGCATTTGCAGACCAAAGTACCTTATACAATCATCAGAAATTCCAGTATTTAATAAACTCGAATTCAAACGGCGCTTTCATTTATTTTCCAATTGTTGATGGTATATTACATCTGGTTGTAAGAGAATTTTAATTTGTAAGTAGTCTTTGTAGTGCTCTAAAAACATATATCACATACGCAATAACATGTGTTTGACCATGGGTCGTTGTTGCAAGATTAAAAGGGGTTCCTATGTGACGTCACTGCGTTATCGTCGTTTTATCAACTACCATGTTATAAGTGTTGTAATATATTATGCAGTCGTCAGGGGCATCAGGCGAGGGATTTGAGGCATTATTTAATTTTACAATGGGCTATTACATGTGTATTATTACAGAAATCGTTTCTCAACTCATTTCAGCGAATTATGTATCCTATAAACGGTTTCATTTTTCACTTCATCAGATCATGTTGAAATACTGTGTCTAGTGCTGTAATTGTTTGTGTTTATTAGGTATGGAAGTTGGCAAAAATGTCTTCAACACTTGTTTATCATATTTGTAAAAACAAATTTGTTAATTTTCAGTTAAAATCACGGTACAAACGCAGTACAAAACAATATTTTCTCTAATTTTTTAAGAGAAAAATCAGATTAATCCAAAATTTATCTATGAAGTATTTATGTCTATTCTATTTATATCTATATTTAAGTAAACATTATTGGCGTGAAATACACGTGAAAGGTGAAGGATTACATTTTGACATTTCTAATAATGACGGTACTAAATCCAAATCGTTTCAGAAGACTTGAAAACAATGAATTTATATGAAGACTAGCTTCGAAGATATGAAATTTCGAGTGCAATTAAATTGTGAATGCAGTATATGCCAAAGATATATATATGTGCATGTACCATTAATACAACAAATATATAATAGGTAAAGTTTTTTTTCGAAAGTTCAAATTTTCGCAGTTTCAAACCTTGCAGCAAAATATATCATTCTTGTAAGCCTTGAAATGAATAATGGTTTCCTGTATAATGTTTTATTTTCAAGTTAACTGTTCCCGCAGTTGGATTGAATCCTCGAAAATAGCAACTTTATATTATCATTGGTTTTCGTGTGTGTGAGTATAGTTCATGTGTTGGGGATATAAGTATGTATGAGAGATACAGTGTATATTTCTGATGGGAGAGTGTACGGGTGTGTATGAGTGTGAATGTAGCATTAATATTAAGAATGCATTTGTTTGCATTAGGAACGTGTATCTTTAATACTTTACAGGCATACTGAAACAATTGACTGTATTAATGATACAGTACTTCTGATACATGTTTTGGTTTTAGTGTATAACTAATGATAAGATATATTTAATCTGTATGTGACATGTCATTGTATGATAATGTATTGAAAAGTGTTATTTACTAATGTGTTTTGTACAATCCATTTCAGCAGTTAGAACAAATGTGACAATTTGTCAAAACCGAGAAGTTTTCGTGTCAAAAACAATGGTAGCCTGAAAACTGCTAGCACTTTGTTCAGCATTTAGGAATGTTCGTTTTTTCTTTTTTTTTTAAGTGTAATATCGTAATACTTTTCATTCAAACTTAAATGTTCTTTGCGTAAGATTACCAAAGACATACATTGTTTACTATTAGTATAATATATAATATTTAAGAAACAACATGTTCAATATTTGACTGAAACTAGTGATAGTTTTTTTGGTATAAAAATTAAGACACATCATGCAGCCAGTTCCAGAATAACAGTAATTAAGAAGAGAAAAATCCTTCCAAAAATATGGAACATGATTTCATTCAACTGTATTCTGTAGATTATCTTAAATCCCCGCGATAAATTTTAAACATCCACGCGAGGAGATCAACACTTCAAATGTTCTTTTCGATATTTTTAAGGCAAATGCTGTGTGGTTAACCTAAACAATCCTTTGTTCACCAAATGTGTCACGATTCTATTTTCTATTTTTAAGCAGTAGCTTAATCATCTGTTCAATAAACATTATTGTAATGATAACACCTATTTTAAGTGTGTTATTTCAAACATCGAAATAATTTGAACTATTTTCTGATCACGTATATTGTTTTTTTTTTTTTTAACTCGGGACAAAAATCGATTTTTATAGGGCCTTATTGCATTTCCACACCACCAAGAACGATTTCATGTCCGTGAACAAAGGTAAAATTTAAGACAAAAAAGCAATCTTGTTTTTTTCTTGTCCGTGTTTATTATCTGAACTGATTTTTGGCATTCAATTTCAATACTCCAAGCACAGAGTAGATGAAGCATTTTCTTTCTTCTTATATTGTGGCATTCATTTTTTCCGGTTTACTCATTAATTAATTAATATTATTATTTTCGTTAATTAATGATCTTTTGATCAGTTATGCATCGGTGTGTGTGTTTTATATCTCGACATTCACCGAGGAAATATATAGAAATAACAAAGAGTTTTATTTTTAAATGAAAACAACACTTTTGTTGATGTTTTTCATAAGCAGAAAATAATATTTCTGACAAATTTCACCAATGAAAACTGAACACATTTCGTATTGTAAAACTAACAAATGAAAAAGCAAAGTAAAAATAACTATAAATGAATAAATAAATAAAGCAGAATATTTAACAGTGTTTGCAGTATTAACGAATATATTTCAATAATTTGACTAACAATTTAATATCTTCACTCCTGCTAGCCGAATTTTCAATATTAAAAGATATATTTTAATCATGTGGCTAACAATTAACCTTACGTGTGAAATAAATTTGTTATTACTGTTGAATATCTGGTATTAATTATGTCATATCTTTAATTATCAGAGTGCATATTACACGCCTTCACATATTTGAAAACTGTAATAGATAATTTACAATACACCTGTATGTGATAATTATGCAAAATCATGTGTGGCCATGATGCTTTTACAGAATTTAATAGCAGACAATGTCAAGTTTGAGAATAAAATTGATTCAATCAAATTATAAATCGGGATTTTTTATTACTTCTACATGTATTTGTAGCTCTAGCATACATAAAGCAGGCTTAATTGTTAACCAAAGAAACGCTACCTACACATAATCCACTCTTTCTAAAAAAACAAAAACAAAACAAGTAAATAGCAACATGCCAACATAATCATAATCCAAACTCAACTTCAATAAAACTATGGCAAAGTATGAACGGAAGAAAGCTTTACAATCTAAGAACAAGTTTACCATCAACGGAACCACCAAACATACTAACGACTAAGAAACGCATCAAGTTTCATATATAGATAAACTATTTTACAATGAGATAAATTATGCTGACCATAAATTTTTTCCGTAATCTTCATCAACTGTAACGTGTAACATAAGATTGTTATAATGATATGATGGTTCTAAGAGTACTGGTGAGATCCTTGGGTAAAGATGTGTTTCAACAATGAGATAATTCAGCGATAAAGAACGTTATTTATACAGATATATTTTTTATGAGATTTAGGCATCAAATATAAAGATAGAATGAAATTATGTAACTTGTAAATTGATTTTCATGGCGATTGAATGATGTTTTGAGAGATACGGGTTGGTGAAGATTACAGTAACATTTGGAAATGATTTTATTTCGTGTAAAAAATTATCTAGATTTGACACGTATAGAAACTACTTGATTTCATGGTTGTCAGCATGTTTCAGCATCGAACGTCTAGATACCAGATGTTTAATATCACCAGACAATTAACATTGGGTATAGAAACTTTATAAAGACACTCATCGTGTTCATATTTTCCCTGTAATCTAATGCTGTATCTGTGGATTATTCCATACACGTTTAATTTAAATAAATGATTTTTCTGCAGCAATCAGAAGAAAAATGTTTCGTCAGAAGAACTTCTTCCGACTTCTACGAGACAAGGCGCCGACTATATGCTTCCAAAAAACTCCAGGAGCATAAAAAACATGTGCCATGCTATGTAAGATGACAGTAGCAATTATATATGCAATGTGGATATTGTTTATTCACAATTTTCTATTGAACTTAATGTAGTGATGTACAAGACTGAAAACACTGGAACTTAAGGTAGCGTAGAGTTCATGGCGCTATATAAAACATATTTCCGGTATATTTAAAGTACACCAATTTATATTTAAGAAAAATGGTAGATATATTCACAACGATTTCCATATCTGTGCTGAAGGATTCTAGTGAAACATATTTTGAAAAATCGTAGTTAAAAAGAGTTTCATTATTATCCTTATTAATCCCTCCCATTCCAAAATTAAAACATGCTGTATATCTAATTTGGAAATTACCTGTCGGAGAATTTTTTGGATCGTTCCTAAGGAAGATATGAAGACCTAGTCGATTTATGTGTGTCATTTAACATTTTGTGTGGAAAGATACAAAATTCATCATAAAAATGCAGTGTTAAATGTGGACGTTTATTACTGTTACATGACACCCTTAAGGTTAAGTTGTTGGTCTCGTCAGGATGTAGAAATGATAAGTCAAGGCAACGTGGTATTTAATATCTAAATTACACATTAATCGGAATTTCTTCTTCTTCCTCCTCTTTGAAAATAGAACACGACATTTTATGTTTGATTACAAATACCGAATATTTAGTCTCTATAAAGTCAACAAATTCCTTGCTTCGTAAGTTTAAAAACTGATTATAAACAAACTGACAGAAAGAAATATATAGAATACAAAATTCAACCAGATGACATTATAAGGATCTGAGGTTTATATCAACCAAATTAAAAACCAGCTGAGATAATAAAGATATGAGGTTTATATCAACCAAATTAAAAACCAGCTTTTAAAGATGTGAGGCTTATATCAACCAAATTTATAACAAGCTGAGATGATAAAGATGTGAGGTTTATATCAACCAAATTTATAATCAGCTGAGATGATGAAGATGGTAGGAGTATATCAACCAAATTTATAACCAGCTGAGATGATGAAGATGGTAGGAGTATAGCAACCAAATTTATAACCTGCTTATGCAATAAAGATGTAAAGTCTATATCAACCAAATTTCATGACAATTTATTTAATATCTGTGGTTGATAACCTTATGGAAAGATGGCAATCTACAAAACCAATCTACTGGTTATTATCTACCGTTAAGTAGGATCACTTCTTGTGGTACCCATGATGAAATAAACTCTGCTCTGGAAGATCGTTAAAAAATCCGAACTTTTTTGACTACATATTTTTTTTCTATTTCATTATTAAAGCGTTTTCAAGATCGCATTAGGCTAATGGAATTCTTGGCAGTTTATTCAGTTTTGGAATTCTGGGCTACCTTCAGGTTGGCTAGTTCGAAAATATCTTTATAATCGTGGACAATAGCTTATCATTAAGGGGAAATTATCTAACCAGTCAAATATTAAAACCGGTGTTTACAAGGGTTCGATATTGGACCCCCTTTTTATTTTGTTTCCTTTTTACACGAGCTAATATAAAGTTATTTATTGTTGACACCTCTTGTATGCATTATAAGCACTCCTATAAAAGGTTGCGAAAATTTAAGTAACGATCTTAAACCGTGAATTTTCAGTTAAGTAGTTACTAAAATTTTGATTTTAAGTAAAATAACCTCATTCATCCTGCCTTAATTAAGTTCATTGTATGTTGAACAAACTGTAGTTACTTACTAAACCTTGTATTTGCACAGTGACATATTTCTGTCCAAAATAGTTTTTTTTTTAATAGATAAAACCAGCTTTATCTAATCCAAGATTTCACCAATGTAATGGATATGCAACAGGAATTTCAGTTATTCACACTAAATTTTCTTGGTTTCTTGGTTGATTTTTTTTTCTAGCTGGGATTAAATTACCTGGGTAATCTTACTACTCTCCAATCAGCCAAGCTGACAAGCAGAGTGAACTTACTGAGACGTTCTTTACATAAACCACGGACTTCGATATAGATCCAAGTCCGTGCATAAACCCATCATCATAACTGAATGGTCCATATAGTCTCCTCCATCTGTATCCTTAAGAACTTTCCCCCATAAAACGACACCTACGAATTCTACAATACCTGTGTTAGCAACAACTCTCGCTCACTTTTGAATTGATGATTCCACGTCGCCAGAACACTGACGTTCGTCGGTGAGACGATATCCGGACACGGAAGGAGTCACGGAGACGGAAACCTGTCAATCAATCAATCAATCGATTATTTAATGTGCAACACGTTAAACGTCACCTGAATCACCGTCCAAAAATGATATAAAACCATCCTTAATTTCAGTAACAACAAAGACATCGGTGTTAGTATTAGAGAACGATACATCCTCTCTAAAATAGCATTCAATATTAATCTCTACTGCACCACGGACTAAGATATCATCATTTTGATTCGAAATTTCTATCTGTGTACACATGTACATGACTTAAAACCAAAAAATCCATGTAGGTCTAGATCGCTGATAAGTAACTGTAGATTAAACTGCAAAAAAAAATATGCACATTCGTCGATTTCATAAGCATACAAAAGAGTGAAGCTAAAAGTTGCTAGCAGTAGTAACATCAGGAATATCTATTTATATTTAGTACAGCTTTGTGCTACTATCTGATTGGTTCAATGATGACGCATATTGTACAAGTATATTCCTGCAAAGATAAAAATAGAACCGACATCATCTTCGCCATTCGGAACTCCTTGTATGTTACCTTCTACCACATCAGCAATATCTATTTATATTTAGTAAAGCTGTGTGCTACTATCTGATTGGTTCAATGATGACGTATATTGTACAAGCATAGTCCTGCAAAGATAAAAATAGAACCGATATCATCGTCGTCATTCGGAACTCCTTGTATATTACCTTCTACCACAATGTGAAACTGAAACTAGAGGGGCGGGGCACATTTATGAACCAAACAAACACAAGTGTGAACACGTACAGCCTGACGTATATATAAAGCCATTGAATTGGCAATGTCGTTAGAACACTAGTTCAGCCACCAATCTGACAGCACGAAATCACAGTAAGTCTCCGTAGCTGTAGCAATACATAAAAACAGAGACGATTTGAAAATGTTTTTATTCTCAGGCATGTAAAGTAGACGTCCAAATCCTTACTCACCTTGACATATTCTTAATTAATAAGATATCAAAATAATGCTGAGTGTGCGTATATGTCACTTTGCTGGGGAAACCTGTGGTAGAGAACTAGGGCATTAGCACTTTGGTAATTAATTACCTCATATCGTATTGAAGAAGTCGTCATCAAAGAATTCATTCTGTGATTTTGTGATGCTGTCATTAGGTAAAAAATAGACAACTTGCAGTGCATTTTTTTCATACTGAAATCATAGATATAATTTTGCAGCTACAATGTGCATGCAACTGAGAGTAAATTGGGTAATATGACTCAATTATCCAGCTCATCAATGATCAAAGTAAATTTGTCCCATTAATCACTGACATTGTAGCAATTATGTTATAGTTCAGTATTTTCTGTAGAGCAAGGGACAGTTTTTTCACCTTTTGGCAATAGTCACATTCACATTACAGATCAATTCTTGTTTTTCGGAATATACCTGTGTTTTTTTAATGGTGGATATTGACTATAATTACAGGCACTTTGGAAAACAGTAGCAACATGGGCAAAGATAAGTGCAAATTCTGGGTCAACTGTTACAGGAAGGACCCAACACACAAGAAAAATTTTCTCCACCCTGGTGACACAGTGGAAGATAATGGTAAGATTAAGATTTTCAGCTTACAAAAGAAGGATATAAGGTAACTTTACTTAAGTTAATAATTCCAGCAGACAGCTTTAAAGAGATCAATACAGTCTGCCTAGAAATGGAGCACTAAATATGTGAAACAAAGCAGTGGAAATGGCATGCAGTGAACAAACGATTACTTTCAGTCCCTATGAATACATTTTTCTTAATTAGATATCAAAATTTTGGTGTATATAATGATTTGTGATTAAGTTTTTCAGACTTTTAACAATATCACTTAGATCTGGAGACACATTGGTATTCTATAAAAAAAAACAAGTATTTTTCATTCTTGTCAAAGGAAACATTTTAGCAAATATATATTGGAAATTTATGAAAATGTCTTTAACATGTAGATATAAAGTGAAACCCTGTAGATATAGATTGATATCATTTCACACAGAATCAGTATCACAATTAAAGCAGAAAATTTGTTTACCTAGTACATTTGTTGTTGTTGATGTCACAGATGATGAAGCCATGGAAGTTGATGATTCTACCACCAAACCTGTTCCTCTGAGGCGGAGAAAAACACATGAACTAAGCCAGAGTGATGGCGAAGATGATATAGATGAGGCACCTAAAACAACACTGAAGAAATCAAACTCAAAGAAAGCTAAATGCTCAGAAGATGATGAGAAGCCAGGTCCTTCAGGGGAAGGTAAATCTAGTGATGAGGACACTAGCAAACCCAAGTGTGAATATTGGGAAAAATGTTACAGAAAAGATCCCAAACACATGAAAGATTATCGGCACCCAAAGCAAAGATTAAGCACAAGACCAAAACCAACAAGGAAGTTAGAAGATGGGGATATTGTCAGTGTGGAAGGAGGTTTTAAACTGAAAAGAATCGGCAGTGACTTTACATGCACGTAAGTATATACAATATATGATTATATGGCATGTAGGTTTTATCAGCTGTCAGTTAATGTCAGGTAGTAGGCCCACACACATCAATCATAGTTTTATTAGAAATACCAGCAGATGTTATCCTGTGAAAAAAGGCCACTAACATATTTTGAACTCAAATTTTTGTGTTAGCCTCTCTGGGCTTATTTTAAGATAGCTTTAGTAGCCTCTTTCTGGATCAGTTTTATCTGAATCTAGGCAAGGTATCTGAATGAAAGTGAGATTGACACAAATTTGTATGAGTTTTTGTCTATTTCTTGTTTATCAAATAATTGTGATGACTATTTTATTGTTTCAGTTGTATTGGTTGGAAAACACAGAAGAATGCTACAAACAAACGGACATGTAAACATCTGAGGGAACATTTGGGGGATGTTTATGAAGCCGCCAGAATTGGTCAACTTCCTGTGGCAAAGAGGAAAGCACCAGAACCAACACAACATTTCCGCCATCTTGCAGTCAGTTTATTACTAGCTCACAAATACGATGAAAAGTAAGTCACTATATTACTCTTTAATATTACAATGTAATCTGTCATTTAAATTCATAACTGTCAGTTCAGTAGAACCTGTCTGAAGAGACCACCCATTTTGTCTATAAAGAAGTTTTTTCTGTAATAAAACCCTGTGTTTAAGTGTGTACCTCTTCTTTCCATATAGTAGAACCTGTCTTGAGAGACCACCCCTTCTGTCAATAAAGTACCTGACTAGTGAGTCCACCATTTCTGTTTGTAAAGTAGAAAATGTCTTGTTATTATGAGTCCGACCTGTATCTGTACAGTATATCTGTCTTTGATTTTATGTTTTTCAGCACAATCACAAATTTTCTATTTCAGATCTACCAATCCTGTTGGCTGGTGGGTGAGCGAAAAATTAGATGGTGTGCGAGCATTCTGGAATGGAAAGTAAGTCTAATTCATTAATTGCTTAATTGAATTAATAAATAAACTTATCATGTTATTAAATAATGATAATAATTTTGTCAAATTTTCATGATGAAAAACAGTCATTTCACCAGGCTATATTATAGTCATGAATATCACCTTTTAGATAAAATTGATAAGATGGCGTATTTACTATGTACTAATACAGTAATTCCGGTTTTGTAGGTGCTTCTACTCCAGACTAGGAAATCCTTTCTATGCACCCAAGTGGTTTACAAAAGTAAGTATCACAGATTTAGTGAAAATGTTTTTCTTTTTTTTTTGCTTTACCTGATATCTTTATGAAATTTTGTTACAATTTTACCATATATAGCTTTAAATCGTCAATCGTAGTCCATGTTTACCAATAGCAATACAAAAAAGTAAACAAATATGTAAATGTTTTATAATAATTTCAATTTTTTTTCAAGGATCTGCCAACAGACATGCACCTAGATGGTGAGCTGTTTGGAGGAAGGAAAAAGTTCCAGTCAACTGTCAGTATTGTGAAGACACCAGAGTGTGATAACTGGAAAAAACTTGTGTACAGTGTAAGTTAATGTTGTTGAACTAATAGTGAATATTGTATCAATTCATCGATACTTCAATTAGAAGTCCATCTCAAATTTTAATATATAATTTCAAACTTTTACTTTTATTGACAACATTGAAATTAGGTATATACTTGGTAGATAGAACATCACAAATTGACTACTTTTTTTTTTTAATTTTTGAAAGATCACGTGTGGCCATAAACTATTGGTTAACAACATATGGTACCATAGCATGATCTGCGATTTTGGGGCAATGATGTATAGGATGTGTAATTCATAGGGCTTTACATTTTGTTTATATAGGTATTTGATGCACCTCACATGGAAAAAGAAACATTTGAAAAACGACAGGAGGCACTCACAGAGTATTTTGATGAACATAAGTAAGTATTATTTCTCCTTGTCTTTGTCACCTTATTTCTCACATCACTTTTCTTCTTTTTATATAGAGCTTATAAGAAATGAAAAGAAGAAATACCATATTATTGAAAAATGTATATATATGGCTCTGTGCTATTTATCAAATGTTCAGTTCTTGACTTCTACCTTTATTTGCTACAGGCCTCAATATGCAGAGCTGGTGAAACAGACGAAATGTACCAGTAAGAATCAGTTGGAAGAGGACCTGAAAAAAATCATTGCTCTCGGAGGAGAGGGACTTATGATTCGAGAGCCAAAGTCTAAATATGAACGGAGGAGGTCAAAAACGCTTTTGAAGTTGAAGAAATTTTACGATGCAGAGGTAAGTTGATTAAAACAATCACATGACTATGATTAGGATTATTGTATTTACGGCAAGTAAATGTCAGATATCTGGGTTAATTACATGCTTGTCACGTAGATGCATGTATGATACTGTGTACAGTATGAGTCATGTTCTTAGAATTTATTATCTTTTATGATGAAGTTTCCAACTATAGGCCCTTGTGTGGCAATAAGCCCACCTCTTAGTACGAGTGTGAGTTTACGTTAGCCCACATGGTTTAACAAAATTTAATACAATGGTTAGCTAGAATATTATTTACTTAAAATTTCTAGAAGGAATAGGACAGCTAGCAGCACTTCTGATACCTGTAAAATATCATTCAACTATCATATCAAGACATTGTTCTATTTTTGTCACTTTAGGCCATCGTAGTTGGTTATGACCCTGGAAAAGGTCGTTTCACAGGAGCTGTTGGAGCCTTGAGGTGTAAGATGGAATGTGGCAAGCTGTTTTCTGTAGGGTCTGGGTACGTATTTATATGACATTCAAGATGATCTTCCAAGACATTTTTACACTGTAAGAAACTTGTAAAACTCTAACATAAATTATTAGTCATTCAAATTTTTTATAAAGATTTGTTAATATCATAGCATCTTAAAAATCTTATTTTCAATTCATCAAAACTTTAATTTTTAAAATAGAAGATTTTCAGTTGAAATTTAATAATAAATATTGCTTTTGTTTCTGATGATAGATTGACAGACAAGGACCACAGACGACCACCTAAGATTGGCTCTATCATAACCTACAAATTTCAGGAGTATACAAACTCCGGCAGTCCACGTTTCCCAACTTTTCTAGGTGTGAGAATTGATGCTACAGAACCAAAGGATGCAGATGTACCAGTGACTATAGCAGATGAATGATGTTGCTTTTATTTGTGACAAACATTATATAACAACAGATCAGCACACAATACATCTACTTCAACATCAGACTTCTTTATAAAGTGTTTAAAACCTAACGGCAGCTTATTGTACAGGAGGTCATTAAGAAAACTGTGATGGCACCTGCTATGGACAATTTTCAATCTATATAGTACCAATCAATTCTATTGTCTATTTTTGTACATTATTGTATATAGTTTTATCTTTATTTTAATTAACCTTTGAAATAGTTATGAGCTAATCAATTTCATGCTTTACTTGTACCTTGTCATGATTTTAAAAATTTCAAGAAACAGAGTTTTTATTTAATTTCATGCATTATATATATATATCATAAAGATAACTTTCAATTATGTCCATAAATTATTGTGATTTATTCAGTTTTTAAATTTGGACACTAAATATTTATTTTCAAAAATACCTTCAGCTCTTTTTAAATTCTCCCTGTACTTAAAGCTACAGCTATATCTTATCAAACATTAAAAAGGTTGAAAATCTATTCTGAAATACAGTTGAAATATTACCGGTGTTTTTTGTTAATATGCTATTTATTATGTTTGGCAAATTGTCCAATGGGAAAATGTAAAGATTGATAATTATTCATTTCATTTGTGATATTAAACAGCAATGAAATGAAAATGTATGTAAATACTTGATACTAATTTATTTTTTCAGTATTTATAGAGATTTATTTTCTTAGAATTTAAATGTATACAATATTTATTATTTTACATAAATATACTGTATCTACAATATTTTTATCATTCAATATTTCAGAGAATGGTAAATGAAAACATAACAATTTTATGTTAATCTTGACAATAAGAAACCATACTGTGCAATCTTAAGTGATTAATAGACAAAAAATCCACTTAATTGATTTTATACTTGTAATATTTGGAATGAGTACCATAACATATTTGTTGAAAGCGAATGTGATATTTACCTCCTAGGTATTAATACATTGAGTGATATATAGTGTTATTGTTTTGTACATTATAGCAGAGCTTATGTTATTTAGATTGTTTGTTTGGAGATTTTTTTTGTCTTTTCTCTTTATGATGCATTGCTCACCCCGTTTTGGGTGATATTTCCTTTGATTGAGGAGATGAATGAAATTTTCAGATGTTTTAGTTGGATATAGTATTGATGTACGTTGTGTAACATTTTACAATTACTTCCCTTATTTGAGAATATTTGTAAAACAGAAATAAAGAAATAATTCAATTAGCCATGTGTATGAAAATGAAAAATTTAGAAAACCAATCCAAGGATTTAGAAATCCCTTCTTTCATAACACAGAGGAATTAGTTATTAAAGTGTAGGAGTTACAGTTTGTATTGTTACCAGAATAAATGTGTGTTATATATGTATCGGTTTTGAATTGTATATTGTACACTCTCCTTCATGTATTGGTAACACTTCCAACTGGTTTGCTTCTTTTTGACAAAAATTATAACACTAACAAATGTGAAAATGAAGTGTGACAGATACTGGTGACATCTCTTATAATCTGATGAACAATAAAGAACATCTATGTCATTAGAGGCAATATCTTAAATTTCATTTATCTAGAGAAAGAAGATGTTACTTGTATTAGGTATTATTTCCTGTTGAAGTTTCTATTTTCTAAAACTTTTATCTGTGTAACATCATAATAACCACAGGTCCTATAATCATTGCTACAATTTATTTTACATTTCCATTCAATAACATTGACACACACAGAAAAAATGGAGATGACAAGAGAGTCTATAGCGTTAGTTTTAACACAACATTATGTATGTACACATCTTAATATAATACACTTATTTATAATCAGTCATTTTATGACCAATGAATGACCCAGACAAACTTGTATAAAATAAGTAAGTTAAATATCAGATACCAAAAGTACAATACAAGATGACCCTCTTGTCACATTATCTAACAGAGGATACCAAAGCACAACAGAAGTCTATCTTACTTTAATCAGACCATGTGACAGAGAAAATCATAAGACTAACTAGTTGTCATACAATGTGACAGAGGAACACAATACAAGTCTGTCTAGTTGTATCCCCACATGTGACAGAGGAACACAACACAAGACTGTCTAGTTGTATCCCCACATGTGATAGAGGAACACATCAAAAACCTATCTAGTTGTATCCCCAAATGTGACAGAGAAACACAACAAAATCCTGTCTATTTGTATCCCCCATGTGACAGGAACACACATAAGACTGTCTAGTTGTGTTGGACCAAATTTCAAAGGAACACATCAAAAAGTCTGTCTAGTTGTATCCCCACATGTGACAAAGGATAACATCAAAAGCCTGTCCAGTTGTATCCCCACATGTGACAGAGGAACACATCAACATCCCACATGTGATGGAGAAACACAACAAAATCCTGTCTAGTTGTATCCCCCATGTGATAGAGGAACACAACACAAGACTGTCTAGTTTTGTTGGACCATATTACAAAGGAACACAACAAAATCCTGTCCAATTGTATGCCCCATGTGACAGCGGAACACAAAAAAGTCTGTCTAGTTGTATTGGACCATATTACAAACCTTACTATTCATATCATCCAATGTGGTAGGTACACAACAAATGCGTGTCTAGTTGTGTAGGACCATGTGACAGAAGGACACAACACAAGTCTGTCTAATTGTCAGACCATGTTACAGAGGAACACAACAACAGCTTGTCATAACCTTATACACCCCCTTCAGTTGGGCATTTGACTAGTAGTTAAGGTATAACACACTAACAGTTACTGACTCAACTCCAACAATTATTTACTCTCTTCGAACAAATACAACAAAAACATAAATATAAACACTCTCCGATGAAATAACCAGTCAGACAATGGTCAAACAACTCCAAAAAATAAATCTTGTCTTTATGAAAGACAAATTTCTGAATAAATATACACTAGCTGATTTTCAACACTGATCTTCGAATGAAGTTATTTACTTGGTACACGTATTGCCTTGTGAACAGCAAAGGTCATTTTGAGGTGGAATCTCTTTGATAAAGTTGGTGACTACTTCACTGAACAACTTATGGGAGGTCCATCGTATGTCATCAAGAGCAATTAGGTTAAAATGTCTTACTCAAGTACACAACTATGTCAGCACAGGCCAGTTCAAACATAAGCTACCATATAAAAAAGGTGACAAAGTTTTTCATGTAATATGCTTGTGTTTTTAAATTGCATTTTGTGTAAAAATAGATTATCATAGGATTTCTGTATTTTCTGGGAATATCTATGTCTTTCTTCTAAACCTACCCCCATAGTAGCTTAATTCATTCCACACTAATTTATGATATACTGTAAAATCATAAATATTTGTGAGGGTTTTATTTTTTATGGGTTTTGGGAGAGCTCTTAATCCACAAATTCATATATCCACACATTAGTTTCACAAACTCTTAAAATTAGTATATAAGCAGATTTGTTGAGCTATAGTTATCCAAGAAATCAAGTCATAGTGATTTGTGATTTTAAAAATCAAGCCACACAAAAATATCTAATTTCACAATAATATATATTATATTTGCATTGCCAACCAGTGATAATTATAGCAAATTTTACTCCATAGATCACAAGTATTCACAATCTGAGTTTTTGCACCATAAAACTCTATTGTTTGTTAAGTACCATTCATCTAAGATAAAAATAAATAACAGCTGAAATTGATATCCGTGACACATAGCTAATGCTACTATCTGAAATAATTTGTCAAGAGAAAGATTGACATTACTAAGAGATCATGAAATATTATGAACTAGATAAACATATTGATTAAAAACTTGGAAAACAGAAATACTTAAATGGTTTGAGATGATGAATGTTTGTTTTTACGAATATCTAAATGTCTTTTTACTTCCTTTATGGCACTAGGCATCAAAGTAATTCAATCTTTAAATGAAGTATAATGCAATAGCAATATTGTATTAATGTTACAAGTTTCTAAAAAGCCTTAATGAAAATGTGAGTTTACTACATGGCAACATGACCAAGCTGAATTTTTCAGATTCATTAGGAATCTTTGAAAAGCTATATATACTGTGCGTAAAGTTCAGGGGTATAACATTTAATATCTTTCGGGTAAAAATACAAATCCTCAGAGGTATTAGAAGAATTTTGTTCCCATTTTGTTTAATGTTTTGGACAGTATGTTCAGAATGATGTAATGATATAATGATCTAGTCTGTATGTTCAACACTGTCAAGTGTGATGTAATGATACAATGATCAAGTCTGTATGTTCAACACTGTCAAGTGTGATGTAATGATACAATGTTCAAGTCTGTATGTTCAACACTGTCAAGTGTGATGTAATGATACAATGTTCAAGTCTGTATGTTCAACACTGTCAAGTGTGATGTAATGATACAATGTTCAAGTCTGTATGTTCAACACTGTCAAGTGTGATGTAATGATACAATGTTCAAGTCTGTATGTTCAACACTGTCAAGTGTGATGTAATGATACAATGTTCAAGTCTGTATGTTCAACACTGTCAAGTGTGATGTAATGATACAATGTTCAAGTCTGTATGTTCAACACTGTCAAGTGTGATGTAATGATACAATGTTCAAGTCTGTATGTTCAACACTGTCAAGTGTGATGTAATGATACAATGTTCAAGTCTGTATGTTCAACACTGTCAAGTGTGATGTAATGATACAATGTTCAAGTCTGTATGTTCAACACTGTCAAGTGTGATGCAATGATACAATGATCTAGTCAGCATGTTCAATGAAGTCAAGTGCAATGCAACAATATAATGTTCAACCCTGTATGTTTAACACAGTCCTGTACAAGGCGACGATCTAATGTTCTATTTCTTTTTTTAAATGCAGCCTGGTGCAATTCGATGACATAATGTTCCAGTCTGCATGCTTAACATGGTCCATTGCATTGTGCTGATATCATGTGTTAGTAGTCCTCATGTCTAACACGGTCCAGTGCAATGTAGAATTGTTTATTTTGTCGTATGTCATGCACTCCTATTGGTCCCACTTCACAGTCAGCACATATTAGGTATTTGATGTTATCTACAGTGTTTGTGAAACCAAGGTTTTCAAATGTAAACATATCATCCACCAACCAGAATTTATTCAAAGTTTCTCCATCTTTTGGTGCTGCATTTGGCTTCTTCTTCATGTGTGGAAGAAATAACTGAAAAACAAGAGAAACATAAAACTTTCATATTGATGAAGAATTCTTGTTGTACCATTTGAATAAATGTTTTAATTAAACATTTTTTAATCATCAATGGTATTTCAATTTATCTATCCAATGTTTTAGTTGCTTTTTGAGAAGTGAAGTTTGACCTTGACCTCTAGTAGACCTGTTGTCCTATTTCATTGATTTTGAACATTTTTGCTTATAATATCTACCCAATTAATATATAATTTAAATATTTGACCTAGTTCTTCAAAGTGCTGATACTTATAAATGTACTCATGGTTACAGTTTCTTCATGCTATCAAGAAAAACAAAATTTGACACCGTGACCTTAACTTTTCAAATTATGACCCCAAACATTTGGTCACAAAAGGTATACATTTATCTGGAATTTTTCTTTTTTTTTTATGAGTATCTTTGCACCACAACACTAGAGTAATATATATACCATTTAAGAATCAAATACTGACCACTGCAACATTGACCTGATGACTTTGACCTTTGATCACATGACTTCTTGTTTATATGGTTCTTCTAATAAATGACATTACAACACATGATCAGTTCAAAGAGAAAATTGAACTCCTTAATAAACTATACACAACACATGAGAAATAAGACTTAGGCCTCCACATCTTTGATCTTAGAACTGATAACCTTGACCTTTGATTACACAGTTTCTAGATACATAACTGACCACCTACCCTGTGAAGTGTAAGGTCTTCATTTGCTTAAAGTCAATATTAAATTGAAGTTATTAGATTTCTGCTATCAAAAGATAAAAGATGATAGTTATATTGGCTTATGGATCAAGTCTTAATGTATAGAAATAAATATTAAAACAACTATACAGATAATATCAATCTAGGTTACAATGGTCTCAGTTCAAAAATGGCACTAATCAAAACTGTCCTATCATAAAAATTGCCCTCATAAATACTGCCTTAATATTTAAAGGCTGTTATTGGGGAAACTAACAAAGATTTTGTATGTATATCAATCCTGCATTAAAGAAAATAAACTGAATAATTTTATTGAAATCAATGTCACAATAAGAAATGTATCAATTGTTCATAAGAGATTGCTTTACTCTTTTTGAAATAATAAAAATTGGTTAGTAAAAGATTAAAAAGTGCCTAATATCTGCCTTATCAGTGTAATTTGATGCAATTAATATGCTAAGCTATTTATATTCATTTATGATTTACAATACAGGCATATGATATGATTTAACACATAAGAGAATAACTGTTATATTTAACATATTTACAGCTAATGATCCAATTCATAACCTACACAGTACCTAAGTGTATATCATACTTCTTTAAGCTATAATTACAAAGTAATAGTTTTACTATGATATCACAGAACAAATTTTCATATGTAGGGTATTTTATTTCGGTCAGAGTAAAAAGAAGATTTTGCAAGAAATAAAAATTGGTAGATACCAATTTCTGTGCTATAAAGTTTATAATTACAATAGAAATCACCTTGAAATTATGATTTAATTTGCAAACTTGTCAAAGATCATTTTTTCATAAATCAAGATATCTGATTTATTGAAAAATCAAGTTTTGTGCTCAATTAAATATGCTTTTCTTTCTAAAATTGAGCTCGTAATTTGTGTATAAATGAAATATATCCACTTTATATAATTTATGAATTCCAATTGCTTGGAATGGTATATTCATATAAAATCTCATATGTTGAAATGGAATTTACCAACTAAGTACAGTTGTACTTGAAAATTTCAAGAAAATCCAACCATAATACCTTTTCTTCCATGATTAGTAGTTTGTTAAAAAAGAAAATTTTTACTCTGAAGCATATATAACATTGCTACCACTCCGGTGAAATTAAAATATTGTCTATCATAATTATCCCAAAGTATTCATATTTGCAACAATTATTTGATGCCATACCCAGATATGAAAATACTGCTGATTACGTTTACATAATAATCAATTTCACCAAGTGGTCAACCATGAAAAAAGACAAGACACAGTAAACATCCTAAAATACACCATCACATTATTGCGGCCTGGACTCAGATATATATCTATTTTAACTTTTACAAAATAATCAATTTCACCAAGTGGTCAACTAGGAAAAAAGACAAGACACAGTAAACATCCTAAAACACATAATCACATTATTGCAGCATTGACTTAGATATATATCTACTCCAAGTCTGTGAATGCAGTAATATATATTTAGTAATTGTTTAAAACATAAAATAATTGCCAGAGTTTTAACAACAAACTGGTATTCAAGTAAGTTTCTCTTTTATCAAATCAAATGACACATCATACTGGTTTTATTTCAAATTATATAACTCAAACATTTTCAAACTTTGTAATCATAATAATAAATGTTTCATATGGATTAATTTGCAATTCCCTGAATCACTGATTTCTGAACATGCTTAAGTGATACCCAACCTTACGTAGAAATGAGAAATGCGCACTACTGTGAAAAATCTTAATTAAAATAATTTCAATTGATAGCATATTTAAATATTCTTGATAAATGAAAATTGAAAAAAAAATAACATCAGAATTAAGTCAATCTAACCAAACACTGTATACATGTTTGGCCGTTACTACTAGGACAGTTTTTGTAGTAAGATCGTTCGAAATGTACACCAATCGCGATCACGCCGGCTGGTGAACAGTCATGATCACCAGGTCACGAATAAATGACATCTCTCTTATCACCTCTTTTTCCTTCATACTGGCTTTCTGAGGTAGAAGAATGACAGATGAACATCTTTGACAACATATCTTTGTTTTGTTTTTTCCTTCCTGTACCATTCCATCAAACTTCACAGAAACCGCATCATCTATACTAGCCTCACTCATTATGAACGTTGCTGCGAAAGGAGAAAAAGTGTTTGTGTTTTTAAAATCAATGTTTTTGTACGATTGTTCTAAATTCACTGGATTCAAACATTTAAATGACGGAATATTTTTACTCTGTTTTACGCATGCGTACTGAAATTAAAACTGATTCTTGGTCGCTCACATGCTTCTATCAAATAACAATAAATATCACTCTGCTGAAGCACTCAAATGACGTCGATTGAAACTCTCTACGAGCACCTGCAGTCTGACTACATTCAGGTGATAGAAAAAAAAAACCAGCAGAAAACATTTCTAAGGTATACTTTTGATTGATGCAATGAACGTTAATTTAGTTTTACGTTATCAATAATTGATACAAAACGCTTTATTTGCAGATCAGCTTTGAATTAGCTTGTGTTTCTGTATTATGTATATACGTCGCAGACCCCAAAGCTGGTTTAGTGCGACGGGAAAGAGAGAGCAATGCTTTCATTGACAGTTGTTGGCGAGGGATGACTGGAATCCCTCAGTTGTTTGCACACACGCATTTTTATCTTCCAGGTGGTTCCAGTCTATCACAGTTCTTATCCAAAAAGTTCTCTTGTCGTTGAGTGGCGACAATCTGAACTTGGAATGGTGTGCTGTTATTTGTGGCATATGTGTCTACGGTATTTTTATTATATAACTATCAAATGATGTCAGGATATGTGGCTCTTTTGGGTCTAGATTTTTGTAAAAAGGCAGATGTGGGTATGGCTGGTTCCAACTTCCTAGCTTGTCGATTTCAGGTTTTGTGTATATGGACCACAGATAATAGCTCCGTATTCAATGAAGGATCTTACATGCAAGATGTAAGCAGATTTTTTCAGTTTTGGTTGCAATGGATGATGTTTCATCTTTGGAAGCTCAGTGATGCATTCACTTTCATGGCCATTTTCGTTATATGTGTATTCCATATTCTTCTGAGATTAGAGGCCAAGGTACAGATTGTGTTGTACTTGTCGGAGAATGTGTCTGTTAAAGATGTAGAATATTTTACTTTGATGAAGAGTATTTAGTTTTTTACATTAAATTCTACATTAAATTTATTCCTCACACCTCAGCCCATTTTTCCAGGTTTTTTTAGGTTGTTTTGGAGGATCACATCATCTGAAAAACTGTGTTTACACCTAGATAGTCATCTGCAAATAGCCAAACTGATGATTTAACAGTTTGGTAGGTCATTTATTTGACATAGGAATAGTAACGGCCTGATGACTGTTACTTGTGAGACTGCAGAGTCTATGCTAACTTCTTTTGAGTGTTTCCTTTCTATGGTCAGCCAGGAGTGGACAGGTCATCTGATTTTGTATCTGATTTTGTATTGAAAAGCTCAATTTGTACAGACATTGTCAGGAGTTGTGTTTCATATGAATATCCTGAGAGGTAACTGTGGTTTAATCAGGTTAAGATGGTGTTTCTTTTGAAGTGCTTTAACATGTGCTTGCATATTATATGTTCCAGGACTTTGTATGGGATAGATGTTAAGGAGAGAGGTTTGTAGTTACTGCATAGTTTTTATCTTCATTTTTGGAAGGTGCATGATATGTTTGGATTGAGTAAGTCTGATGGTAGCTCACCTGTGTCTATGGATTTTTGATATATTGATGCTAGTCTGAGAGCACATTCTTTGAGTACTTTGTTTGGTATTTTATCTGGGCCCATTTTCTTAAGTAGCTTTGTAAATGATAAACGGAATGGTTAATCCAAAATCTTTTATCTTTTTAAAATTTTCTTAGACTTCTCTACCACCATATCTGTTCATACTGTACTTTGTATCTTCAATATTCTTGTCTTTATTATGGATGCTGTAAAATCATACATTTCATAGTTTAAGGTTATACACTTTTGTTGGTACCAGGGCTTTTTTTATTTGTGATGAAATCCACGTCTTCTATTTCTATAATCCATGTCAACTTTTATCACATTATTTCAAAATGATCAGAGGTTTGTGGATTCAGAATACTCACAAATTCAATGAAAATAAATCTTCCACAAAAAATAATGATTTTGCAGTAAATAAAACCTGCACTCACCCAGATTAAACTTTAACAACTATTTTTCACTCCCTTTATTTAAGATCTGTTTAAGATCATTCTGAAATAGTATATTGTAATGGAAGTCTTGGTCTTTATTGCATCTTTTCATTTCAAAGGATTTTGATTTTTCTCTTCTGAACTCAAATAGATTGACAATACCTTGTTAATCATATCATTCAGTGTTTCATTATGATTAATTTCAGCGGATACAAAGCATTGAAGATGAGCGGTGGAGGCGGATCAAAAGATGTTCCCGGAATGTCAATGATGTCGTTTGTTTCTCAAGATGAAATAGATAGCGTTAGGAAAAAACGGCAAGAGGAATGGGAAAAGACACGAACAGAAGATCAACCTTTAGGTAATTTAAACAATAATTATATTTTCACACATTGTTCATAGACGCCCTATATATATATATATGAGCTATTACCATGATCTACAGCCAATTATATATTAAACTTATACTTTGGGCAGCATGTGAGTTGCCCAGTTAGGTTTTAGAAGATGGAGCTAATCAGCTATGCATGATATCAACTTGAATTAGTCCATCAAGACTATACTGTATGCTCAATGTAAAGAATCTATAATAGTTTTCCTGGCTATATATACAAACCAAAAGAAAATATGTCAAGTAAGACTTAATTCAGATGTGTGGTGTCCACAAAGATTAGTTTCCCCATAGAACAGATAGTTAAACCACAAAAGAAAACATCAACTATGGTCACATGTCATAATTATTATCAGTGATGATATATATATAACACACTTGATTGTAGTTCAAAAAGTTCTGACACAGTTTTAGCTCACTTCATCCCAAGTACTGGTGAGCTTATGCCATGGCACGCTATCTGTTGGCGTTAAGCAAATTTTTATTAAAAGTTGTGTGTACATCATGAATGACTGAACAGATTTTGACCAGTTTTGGTAAGAAGCATCCTTGAGGAAAGTCGAACCAAGTTGGTGTTAGCACTGGTTCTCCACCCCAGGGAATGGAAGGGCAGTGCCCAAAGGGTGAAATTTTGCAAAGTCTTTTAATTCCTACTACTCATGTAGGAAAGAATGGCTATTGCCCAAATTTGGTCTGAAGCATTCTTTGGGGAAGGTAAATCAATCTTGTATAGACGTAAGGTCTTGGCTCCTCTTTGAGGCTGGAGTAGCTGGACCCACTAGGGGAAACAGAGAAAATTCCTTAAAATCCTACTCCTATAGGAATGAATGGATATTGCCTGAATTTGGTCTGAAGCATTCTTTGGTGAATCTATCATAAAAATCCTTCTTCGGTACAAGGATATCTGTCAACCACAACCAAGTCATAAAATAAGATCAGGAATAGAACGTTTTGGACTTATTGGAATGCTGATTACACTAATATTTATCAATAATTCAGTCAAAGATACATGTATTTATATCTTACATGTTAAGATAATTAATTCTGTAGCAAATATGTAAAAAGACTTTTTAATGTTAGTCTATATAAAATGTACTAAAAGATTCTGTTTGACATACCAGATTGTATGTTACACTTTCAGAATGTCCCGAGGAAATTGTGGACAATCGATCCTTATTTGAGAAACTACAGGAACAAAAGATGAGGCAGCAGGAAGAATATGAGGAAACACATAAACTGAGTAAGTTGTCCCAATAGTATGTTGTTTGAGGCTTACAGTCATGTCTACAGCTTTCAATAATGGAAGGTACAAAGTCTGATAATGCTTTGTATCTACACATAAGACCACAAGAGTATGTTTCTACAACATTAAGTAAAACAATCATCATGATATTTCAAAACTAAGGTGTATTGCGTTATGTATCCCAGTATGTATACATGTATATGACAAAACAAAAATCAACGACAATAATCTTTAATTTCTTGTAGTCTGATAACAATGATTATTTATTATGCTATTTGAGCATAAGAAAATAATTTCTCTTTTTCAAGAGAATGGGAATGTTAATTTCAGAAAGGTGTCAAAAATCACATGCAACAACATCTTTTTCATTATTTTTTTCATCTCCAAAGAGAGAAACATTATTATACCCGGTACATTCACTTCTGTTTTTATGATCATATACTATCTGAACCATAACAGTTAGTACTGATCAGCTTTGCTTGATTTTGTTTTAGGGAACAGTGTCAAGGGTTTAGATGAAGACGAGGCAGGATTTCTCGAATATGTGTCAAAAAATGAAATGGACAGATTAAAGGCACGACACCAGGAAGAAAAGGAAATCTTGAAAGAAATTGAAGTATCCTCTGACTTGTATAAAAATATTTCAGGGAAAGATTCCTCTAGAACAGAGGAATGTTGAAGGGAGGTCTTGTTTTTTAGTGTCACAACTGATCGTCTGTAGCCATTTCAAAATTAATTTGACATATTGTGTATGTGTTGTTTTTCTTCTCTCAGTTTTCATCATGTATATGATACTGGGTGTTGTAAAGGCATTAAAAACCTTGGTTACTAGTCCTGTACTATATGTAAAACTGAACATATTTGTGTTCAATGCAAGATAAGGCAATCACAATAAGGCCATAGAAGAAGTTGAAGTTAGTTTCTAGTTATATACTTGAAATCTTAGGAACGTATACAGTTTATATGTTGACCTTGACATTGATCAGGAAGCATCAGTTTCCAAGGTAACAGAAACAAAGATATCTGATGAAAGAAAACTTCCATCGAAACCCCAGATCGGTGCTGCTCAAAACAAAAAATCTCAAATGTCTTTATTAGCAGGTGCTGTCAAACGGAAAGGGTATGTAGAAAACTTTCTTGACAAATATACATGATATTTCAAATTGGAAATCATATTTGCATTTGAATTTTCTGAATTTCACATAATCAGCCTGTGACTTATAATTAGGGAATTGGCCCATGTAGTATTTTTGTGTATATGACACTAGTGCGATATACCCTGGAGAAATTTTCATTGGCTGCTTATGATTGGAATTGATTAGGATGTCATGAGGACAATGACCGTATGTGATTTATTGAAAATGTTCCAACAAAATGTGTGTCTTTTTTTTCAATTTTTTCCTTCCTATTTTGACTTTAAAACCTATCAATATATAAATTTCTTAGCTATTTGATCAAAACTATCTTAAATTTGTTTTCATTTCATAGGGGATTGACTGAAACTTATCTTGAAAATTTTTACTTTATACCCCACAAGGCTTTAAAAAATCAACTTGTATCATAAGATCCCATATGAATTTAAAAGTCATTTAAGATTCTATATAAGATGGATTGAAATGGAAGCACTATCTTTGAATATTTGTACTTGACTAATGTTGTCAGGATCATACATTTTGATGACAGTTTGAGTTCAAGAATTTCTTCATAAGAGATGTTACCCTGTTGTGTATATATACTGATGTTGAAATTAAAATTTGCTTTAAGATCTGATGCTGTTGAAGATGGAAAGAAAAGGAAGCTTTCACCTGATAATGGTAATATTGACCATCCTGTTATTTTTTACGCTAACATATATATGTAGTAGTATACCATATTCATCCTTCCATCAGTTCAGGGTCCAACAGTTTTCTTCTGTCTCAAAGTCAAGTCTGGAATAATGTTGTTTTATAATTGGACTACACCACAATAGTGTTATGACTGTAACTAAAATAAGTCTTTATTCTTATTTTACTCCTAACTGAAAGTCAGAAATGTTGAAACAATAGGACATATCTTTTTGTTAGGTTGGAAAAAACTTGCATTGGCATGATAGTGTTCTTCTGTATGAGATTATTGGAAATATTTGATATAACTAAACTGAATGAAGTTGTATTTTTGCATAGCATTCATGCAGGTATGAGTATATCCTAAATAAAATTTTTGGAATTCATGTATATAGGTATATGTACATTGGCGTTAATTTTGCACTACATGAAATAATCAAGTAAAAAAAGTCATCTCCACAAGGAATATGATTTTATTTATCATCTTGTTAAATAGTTATCTTAATCTCAAAATTACAAAACTAAGACTGGTTTTCATTTTTCTTTCCTTCTATGGTGTTATTTAAATCGCTGAATATGTAATCATCTCCAGGAATACATCATACTTACATGATAAGTTCTTACAAATCACAACAGCCGATATTGTTCGAGATGTAGAACCACCATGATCAGTAAAAACTGAATTTGCATGGCAAATTTGCCATTTATTTTTATTATTCACGGTAAAATTGCATTTGCCATCATACAGTAGCACTAACATTGTTGTTACAAATGAACTGAAATTATCAAACAACATGAAAATATACTGACATGTTAGCAAGTGCTGACTAAACATTGTAATTAATATTACATAATTGGATTGAAACATCTTTTTATACATTATGAGCTACAAACTTGGAGGTAGCATTTATTCCCATGCATGCTTTCAACAAATATACTTCAAAATCATTCATGATATAGCAATCAATATGCTAAATTGATTCCAATTAGCCCACAGGGGTGTAATTTAAGTGCTTCAAGGGTTGAGAAAATGGGTCTTACTTATGTGAAAAAAACAACAGCTACAAGATTTGCTGGTATATTTTGAAAAAAAAGCTTGAAGTGTAAACTATGTGTTTAGCGTAAATACATAGATATTCAGGAATTCCTTTTGTAATTACATTGTTTTTAATTAAATTTAATTAATTAATTACAAGTTTTTTTACTTTTTGACTTCTTACCAACTGTTACTTTGTTCTCCACTTTAGGTGAAATTTATGGTAACCTTTTGAGCCACAATCTCTAAGAATGTTCATGATTTGAACTGGAAAAAAAGTGTTTAAGTCGAAAAAGGATTCTCAGTAGAACAGTTTTGTAATCATGCATCGCTAACATAAAGTGTATATGTTGTTTAAGAAACATGAGGTAGTTATATAACGTAAACATATAACGTTTTTCGTATGCTTTAGGTCTAGGTCAATGCTCAGACTTAAGAGAGGGGGCATATATATATAGATATAATTGTGATTCTACTGAGTAGGAATACAAATTTGGGTGGTTTTTTTCTGGATTTATACCTGATAATTGGTTCTGTTTTCTATGGAGATTATAGATAAAACCGTCGATAGATTAAAATACAATGTTTTTTCACATTTTATTGCAGATCCTGCAACAGATTCCCCGTCACCTGCGTTGAATGGTGGATGTGACAGGGCAAGGATAATTGGCATTCTACCTGGACTTGGTGCCTACAATAACGATTCAAGTGACTCTTATTCATCAAGTGACGATTCTGATATTGATCTCAGACTTACTGCACAGAAAAAATATGTAGTAGTGGATAATGAATGATAGTTTTTTTTGTTTATTTTATCAAATCAATGGACATGCAAATAGCCCTGGATTACATCATGGGAAAAAAATATATTCATAAAAAAAAAAAAAAAGAATTTTGGTTTTTTGTTATCAACATACTGCAGCATTGGACGTCAGTCTGTCGACTTTTTCTATGAATCGTTACAAGTCATGAATAACAAAGCAGATTTTCACCAAAGTTTGTTCGAGGCATCGTTGGGGGGAGGGGAATTAATTTTGTATAAATGGTGGGTGGCAGCCTCAGGGGCTGAAGAGGTATATACTGATAGGGGAAATAGAGCAAATGATTTAAATCTTATTCCTCCTGTTGTAATGATGTGGTTTGAAGTGTGAATGATTTGGCAAACCCACTAGGGACATAGGGTTTGGATCCACTAAAAAAAATAGACGTGTTCCATGCTTATGTAATTAGAATTACTTTTTCCTTTAAGTTAATGGCAATTAAATCCTCAGTTACAGCCAAGCGAAATCCATGTGAGCAATACAGGTCCCAGGGGCCTATTGTTGACTTCTTAAAACCCTCTGAACTGATTTCATTGAAACTAAGCTAAACCTTCAATAGCCAAAGGTAAACCAAAATTGTAAATGTTCCCTACCGAAGGGGCCTAAGGGGCAGAGCCAATAAAGGTCATATTGACTGTGTATTTTAAAGCCTTCTCAATACCTAAATATGGTAGAATCACATACTCTTCATTGGTGGAAGGGGTTAAAGGTGCTTTACTAAAATTATAACTTTCATCACCCCAGGGTCTCCTGTCTTCCCCTGAGAAGGTTGGAACTTTACTATAGTTTATTTATCAAAATTACATTTTTGACCATGATTTGTTTATTAGGGCCCTGCACAAGATGCAGGTGCCCTATAGTAATCGGTTTCTGTTCCATATCTCAAATTCTGTTGGACAAATGGCACTCATCCTTGAAGAAGTTGCTTGCTTGGTGTATGCAGCTTTTCACCTCCAAAGGCTAAAGTTCAAGGTCACTATTGCTATAAATAGAAAATCTCTTCTAGATTTTGCTTTGGCCAATCCAACACAAACCATTTTGTGGAATATCTCGAGTTTGCTGTAGCCAGTCTAACTCAAACTTGATGCAATGCTTCTTAACCAAAAGTGCTTGTTTGAAATAGATTGCCGTGCAGGTTCAAAGGTTAGGTTAAAACTAGTTTCTGTATGATAACCTGAGTTTGCTTTGCCCAATCTAAATCAAACTTCATACAATGCTTCCTTACCAAAAGTGCTTGCTTTGGATATTACTTTTGATATCCCAAGTTCTAAGGTCAAGGTCAGTGTAATTATAAATGTTTTTTTTTTGTTTTTTCATAACAGTCTTTCTTGACTTTTGTGGCAGAGTGTTTGATATTATGCAGATATTGACCATGGCTAACCCTAGGGGTTGATGGGTGTAGCCAAAAGCGGTCTAAAAAACTCATCTCAGTACCTGAATATGGTAGAATAAAAAACTTTTCATAATGGAATGGTCTTTAAAGTAAAAGTCTTACGTCCCTGTACAAATAGCATTTTGCGTTTTCTCTTCTCTATTCTACATATTTATTTCAATTGGTTCCATTTGTGAGTTCACTCAGGTGACTGTTTAGGCTGCCGGGCCATTTGTTATCATATTTGTTATTCTCTTACAATTACTGTCGGTCAGAAATGTTATAAACACTGTAAATAAAACTCATCAGATGGTGATATGATATTGTATTTTATCATATTTTTGTTTAATGTCATAACAATCGTTAAATTTTGGAATTGGGCACTTGTGCTTATTTTGTGTATTTTTTTCAGAATTACAGTCTTGCCCCTTTTACTATGATTGTAGAGTATTGTACCAACAACTCCTTTGATAGTCACTATCTACATTTTGTGAAGAAAATACGGACAGAGTCATCACATGTTGAAGTTGTGCACATGTGCTTATTATTTTTTTAGCTCAACTGGTCTGGAAAGTGTGAATTTTTTATATTTTAATAACAAAAAACCAATGGTTATAATATTTGTCAGGAAGGTTCCTTGGATGAAGCTTAACGAAGTCTTAGTCAAAGTTATAAGTTCCTGGGATGAGGCCTGACTAAGTTTGTTAAAAGAAATAACTTCGGCCCAAATTAAAGATCATCGGGGATTAAATACTCCCTTCTAAGTAACCAAAATGCCTAGAATCACAATATTTAGCAGGTAGCTTCCTTAGATGAAGCCAAATGAAGTTTGTTAGAACATTTACCTTTATGAGTATTCAAGGTAACAGGGGTCAAATTTGTTAAAACCTTTAAACAAAATGTTCTGATAAACCAAAATAATTCATTTTGCCGGTAGTAGGTTTCTGGGATGAAGCTAAAAATTCTGTGAAAACAAATGAACTTGACCCATATTCAAGGTCACAGAGGCAAATTTGTTTCCTTAAAATGAGTTCATCTCAATAACTAAAGCTTTGAATATCAATAATGTGTAAACGTTAATGTATAATTGAAGAGAGCTGAATGATACAGGCCTATTTGACCTGTTGTTTTTAACATTTTCTCACCTCAGCACAACTCCTCCTACCATTTTGAATCTAGCAAGCTATTCCACCCACCATCATTTACTTGAAAAATTCAGTAAGTAGTTACCAAGGTATTTGATAAGTTAATGTAAAATTTTACCAGAACATGATCTGTTATAGGATAATATTAGATCCTAATGGGGAGAGTAACAGGGGTGTCAGATATTCCCCCCTCCTCTCCCCCTAAAAATGTTTCACCCTAAGTTTGTTTCATAACACACCAACAATATTGCTCCTAAAAATTACATTGCCCCAAAAGTTCATAACTGCTCCAAAATTTATTGTATTGTTGAACCAAGTTAAGTGGTGGTTTTGTATGTTAATTTTACTTGTCATATAATACTACACTGCAAAAATGATGTTTGTGTATATGTTTTGCTACCATCTTTTGAGGTCCATGATTTATTTTTCCATTCACAGATGGTCTGTTGTAAGCAAAATAAACAAATAAGCCAGGACTCTTCGTAGATCAGTTATAATAAAATGCATCTTCTTTAGAGTTCCGCGTGTTTCTGGTTTTAATCTGAGTTTCATTATTGAAATCAAAGTAAACACTGAAGCCATGTTTCGACAAGGATCAGGGTTTTCCATAATTTTGTTAGTAGTAGGCTGTGTAGTGAAAGTAGGAGGCTGGCCTGCTGTGTACGTGTAGTCATGTACGGAACATTATTACGGAACTGGATTGGTGTAGGCGGCCAAATGATCAAAGTAGCCAGTCAAATTGGCCGGCGACCGGCTCTTATGGAAAACCCTGAGGAATACAGCCAATTACGTGAATATGTGTCTTTCATGAATGTTGTGTACCTATTGTCTTGGAGAAAGATGTTCTATAAATGTCATTAATTGATAAATAAGTTACATGTTTATTACAGAATCACAATTAAATTAGATTGTGTTGTACTAGTCATGGAATTAAATGAGCATACAAGTGTGCATCATAAAAGTCATAAATATATATGGCCCATTCAGCACTTCTCAAGAAATAGTGAGAACAAAATTCAAGATGGCTAGTTGTAGGCCATTTTGTTTTTCTGATCAGTCCCAAAAGCACACAAGAACAAATAAGGGCCAAAGGGAACTTGCATATGAAATTTGAAAGAAATCCATCCAGTTCTTCTTAAGAAGTTCCTATAACAAATCTCAATGTAAAAATCAAAAGTGGTTGCCTGTCGACTATAATATTTTTCTGATCAGTCCTAAAATCAAACGGGCAAAAGCAGGGACCATAGAGAATGATCCATTTAGTACTTTTTCAAGAAATGGTGACAACAAGAAATGTTTACGGACAGACCATAGACGTAGGGCAATTTGAATAGCTCACTGGGCTAAAAACTAGGCTAATTTGTAAGTCTGTTTTTAAGAATTTATTTAGTAATACATTTGCTAACCTTGAAAAACAAACCAATGCTCCCTATTCATTTGAAAAGGTATTCCAATTTTTCTTGAATGCAGCTATATAATGTAGCTGGCAAACCAGTTTTTCCATTTCCTGAACCTCAGCAAGCTTTGCTCTTAGTCCTTCTTTCAAAATTTGATGACACAATACCACACTAATTGTTTTTAGTTTTGAGAGCTACCTTTGAAAACTTATCACAAAACAATATTAGCTTTCTGTTTTTGGCTCTGTGTTTCCATAGGTTTTCTCCCACCACATAATATAATCACGCTTTGCTAGCTCTCGTTTGGCAAAGTACGTCGGGTATTCAGCTTTTTCCATGGGATGGTAAGCATCTAATACCTACAAAAAAAGGCAGGAAAGTAATTTAACTCCATACAAAAAATATTTACTTCATTTTAGAAAATTGCAAGACCTTTATTTCAACATGTTTTATCTTCTCTCAACTATATCCTTGGAATGAGCTCCAATTATCATGAAAAATCAAAGTGATGAACATGCAACCTTTGAGAAGACACAATGTATATAGTCTATCATTTGTAAATGACATTAAAAAAACATTAAAACCTTAAATTTTAACTTTATTGATACAAGGGCTGTAATAAGTTGTCAGCCTCATTTTTAGGGGTTGGATGTTTGTGAACATATTGCATTATTTTTCAACCTATTCTGCTTCAGTATCTATTCACTTTTGCCAGCAATATTTAAGGATCTTAATGCCACTTTTACTATTCTTGACCGTTCAGAAAGTCCTCCACTGCATATATGATGTCATCATCTGACTGAAAGTGGATACCTGAAATGGCTTATTTCAATTTCAAAAATAGATGAAAGTCTTATGGAGTGAGATCAGGTGAATAAAATGGATGCTCAATCAATTCAAAGCCACAAACATGCATGGCAGATATGTGAATTGGACATTGTCTTGGATGAACAACACACCTTTACTGAGTTATCTGTGGTACTTGAGTGTAATATTTTCACTTAACTGCCTAAGAAGTGATATATGATACTTGCCATTGATTGTTTTGATAATCTACCATCAGAATACCATAAGCATCCCAGAAAACAAAGGCCATAACCTTTCCAGCTGATGCAACAGTCTTTGCCTTCTTTGGCGGGGATGAACCAAGGTAATTCCATTGTTTAGACTGTTGTTTGGCCTCTGAGGTGAAATGATGGACCCATGTTTTATCCAGTCACAAACCTCTGCAGAAAGGTAGCAGAATCTGCCTCTAATAGGTTCAGATTAGCAAGCAACAAAGTCTGTCTGGTGTGCTTCTGATCAACTGACAGAAATCTTGGTACCAAACAGGCTGAGAGCTTTCTCTTTGCAAGATCTTCCATAAGAATGGAATGTACTCTTTTGTGTGAAATCCCAATTGTATTTGCTATATATCTCCATATCTTGCCTGTCAGCCATAACAATATCACAGACTTTACTGACCATTTCTAGGATTGCAACAGTGTTGCTACCATATCAGTATGGATATCCTTAGATGCTAAACCTTTCTTATGCAAATATTAAATCACTGCTCTTTCAGTAATTTTGTCCATTTTGCAAAAGTTGCATGCCTTGTTTACTTTGACATAAACTGATCAAATGACACCAGACTATGGGTACACTGCCTTAAATAGTCAGGGAATAGTAGAGCTGAAAAAGAACATGGCTGCTTGACTTCTTCAATACAAGGCTCACAACTTATCAATCAGCCCTCGTACTTACAATTGCCCTCCAACAGATTCTCATGAAACAAAAGCATTTTTGATCATATGTGCTGATCATGCTTACTAATACAGATCATGCTTACTAATACAAGTGAGAGACATTTTATATTTTAGCTCCATTTATCTTTACCAGAAGAATTATATAAAATCATCTTTTAATTTATAAAGAAAAGTAACACTCATCAGTATTTCAAGTACCAATTGTATTGTATACAAATGCAGTTGTTTAATTTTGTTGGGAAGATATTTTTGGTCAGTTCCAGGTTATTCAATTTCATGCATGTCTATAAACTTGTGGCATAACAGAGATTTTCGGAGATTTTCATTCACTGTAGAAATATTCCTTTGCAGTTTGATTTTGTGCATTTTTTATTGGCCAATAATTGAACAAAATTAACTCCCCCACGAATACAGGTACGTGCATTACTAACTTTGAAGTATTGATAAAGGATGATATTCAGAATATTTTTTATTAATCCTCTTACCATATCAGGGCTAACATCATATCTTCCGTGGGAAATTCCCTTTGGACATCCTTCAACTACAAAGAAATACAGTTCATAATAAATTTAACATCTTAACATATTCCATAATCATTCATAACTGGAAGAAAATATTAAATGGTGATAAGCTATTTATTTTGTGAAAGCTGGTTAATGTTGAGCACACTCTTTTCTGATGTCAATATTAAATGATAATAAGTACACATTTTGTAATTTGTAATATCTCACTATCAAATTATAATCATTGACTTCAGGAAATTTCTTCTTGATATGAATTTAGAGTTATACCATTAGCCCATATGACCAATTTACCAATATGGACAATTCTGGTGAAAAGTTAGGGTCACACCAATTTCATTTCACTACAATAAGCTAATTTTGTGAGTTTATTCCAGCATAATGAAATAGCATTTGTGTGTAAATAATTTCAACAGAAATATATATTGACCTAGATCACTATGCCCAGTTTGACCAAGGCAGAGGTTTTTTTTTTTTTGCAGTATTTTGAAACAATTAATTCACCCAGAATACTAACTGTATTCACTTGTCAAAATATTTTTTAAAACATTCCTAGAATGTCTAAGAAGACCAAAATGTAAACTGAACTTTTGCTCATAATAAATATTTTTCAGTTTTATTTCTTATTCAACTTCAGACAAGATACAAAAACTATTGATATTTATTTTATGTAGTGGAAAGGAAATGTAAGTTTACTACTTATTAATTGTTGTCATTTAAGATAAAATTAAAATATAGATATGATCACTGATAATGATACTTCATAATCAATGAAATTGATAGATAATAATTTTCGCCTATTTTATCAGATTTTGAAAATAACTTTTTTTAAGTGTATTTGCCAATGAAAATATGGTACAAAAAACTCACCCACATAATCTATGCATTTGTTGTACAAGAGATTATTTTACCAATAAATTAATATTTCTTTGTCCTATAATAAACTAACACCCCAAACTTCAAAGATAAGATTATTTGTATTTATTACACTGGTAAATAAAATCACTTACACTGCTTTGTTATTCCTACTTTCATGTGTATCATGGTTTCTGTATATCTCATCAGTTCATGGATTTTATCCATGTCTCGCTCATCTTTGTGTTCATCAAACATAGCTCTTATTTTAACTGCACCAAACCTATACTGCAACCTACAACAGAAAATAAGCCATACTCACATTAAGATCACATCAAAGAATTGGCCACTATGATGATAAAATGATTCTCATGATCAGTATACCATGTTCATCTACAACCATGTTTATCTTCAACACTCTACTGAAGACGGCCATGGATGGATGCAACATGTCCCCATTACTATGTTTGCCGACTACGACATCACTCTCCACAAAGTCATGCCTCTTCCCCAAAGCCAGCCATATACTCTACTCCAGAGTTTTATTTCATGTGCTATTCTCTTTATTTCAAATACAATATACTCTAGTTTCCTTTTGGAGATATTTATTTCATTTCAAATACTGTAGTTTTATTTCTAATATATTTTTTTATTTTTCTTAAGTTTTGTTTTTGGTACTTAATAGTATAACATTAAAGTGATTATTATTTATGTAATGTATGGTAATTAAGTTGAATGTTGTATATCATCTATGATATATTACTTTTCTCTTCATTTTGTAATAATTTTAGAAATATGTTAGGGTGTAGTGCTAAATCATCCAACATAATAATTTCATTTATTTATGTATGTTTTAGTGCTGAATGAAGTCATCAAACTTAATTATTCAGCGTTTTCATCAAAGAAAATTTATGTATTTAGTTTCATATCTCAATCATATAAGGATAGGTTGTGAGCAACACATGTAAATCTCAAGTAAAAATCTTGGTAAGAAAAGGGCAGCTTATATATGAAACAGTTTATAATTGCCATGGCATTGTTTCCTAAAGCAACACCATCCTATTGTTGCAAAAAATATTGATACTCGGAGAACAACCCGAACCAAGACAAACAAGGAGTTTGCACATGTATTGTAATAAAAAAAAAACATTGGAGCAAACAAGAAATATATACATACTGGTTTTGAACAACATTTACAACACTGTCGTTAAATAAAATGATAAATTGGCTTTTGCATACATGTATGAAAATCTGCCTCATTAAAATGTAATAGCATCACTTTAAATCCTTATTTTCACTTTAAGGTGTCTCAGTTTTCAGTCAAAATTTCAAAGACATGTGAATTTTGATCAGTTAGTGGAAGTATTTGAGGAGTTGTTTTACCATCAATATATAAGCATCGAAAATTTTGTTTGATGATTCTCAATCATAATTTACTAAACACAGAAAAATGGAAATGCTGGTTTTTGGGATTGGTTTTTCCTCCTCTTAACGCACTCTGCCGTATTTTTTCGGACATATTTGTGGAAACGAACCGAACCCTTAGTCTTCAGACCATATAACTGATCCAGCTTAAGTGTTATTTGAGTAACAAGCAAACAAGGTCAAAAAATGATCATATATATCGGAAGCCCATGCGTACCTGGAGAGAAAAGTATCTGGTGCGAACGATTTGTGCTGACTTACCTGTACATGCATTTAGTTTCATGTGCTCTAACTGCCTTTTTAAAAAGCGTTTTCACCAATTGGGCATGACTGACCGCTCGGGTTGTCATCTTGGAAGATGTTGAGATGACTCGCGAATTATCTCCCTTTACGACGGTTTAGGGTGAATTTCTAACCTATATATTAACGTCCAAATGAATGTCAATAATGTCTTTAAGAAAAACAATATATAAACTTTCCGGTATATTGAGTCCCTCAAATCAGTCATTATTAATCATGTAAACTAATTACCAGCTATCATTTTTTAAAGACAAGTTTACGGACATATCTAAAATAATGCGGATTTTTTATTCATAAACACCGGACCTTTAGGTATTCTCGCCCAACAAAATCCTTGCTGTACACAGGGTTTGTTGTGAACAGAGGAAGCGTCTGAATGACTGAGACTGCTCTTTAGCGGGAGATATGAGAAGGAAAGCTTTAGTTTAGGCATTTGTACAAAGCCTATTTACAGATTGCAATGGATACTAATACTATTGTCAACGCACCAACTGGTTGTAATGAAAAGTTTTTAAGCTTGATAGGTAAGTTTGCGCATGTGGAATGGAAAACTCATAACTGTTAGGACACTTATCCATGTATTAGTCCAAATGCCTATCTATTCAGTTATACCAGGGACGTAAATAATTGTTACCTACAATCCTTGTTATACTGTATCACACCCTATTGTTTCTAAAATGTGCAGCCAGCACGTTTGAAGGTAAAAATGGTAAAAAAAGCAAGACCGTTTAAATCTAAAGGGTATGAAAGTTGAGGTCATTGGACGGATATGAGTGAAAAATAGCTTAAATAAGTGAGGAATTAAGGAAAAGTGCATGTAGAAGGTTAGAACACAGTAAAGTTTTGGTTTGGGGAGAGAGAGAGCAATGCTAGCAATTACCAAAGCCTATAGCTAGCGTAAGACTTGTTACTGCTGTCACTGAATGACGGAGAAAGGAAATAATTAATACCAGAGACATATATGTGATATATACGTCTCTGTTAATACCTACATGCATGGTAGTGTGCAGATGTGTGCTTTGAAATTGAAACGTATGTTAAATGGACAAAAGTTCTTAGCATAAATTTCAAGGAAAATTACAAAGATAATCCTTGCCAACATGTATGTACATGGGAAAAAAAACAATAACTACATCACTGTATCCCAGTAACTTCATTGTGTCCCTAAAACTACTCCACTCTCTCCCTGTAACTACTTTACTGTATCCCGGTAACTACATCTCTGTACCTGTAACTACACTGTATCCCTGTTACCACTACACTCTTCACCTGTAACTACTTCTTTGGGTCCCTGTAACTACTTTACTATATCCCGATAACTACATCTCTGTACCTGTAACTACATCTCTGTACCTGTAACTACTTTACTGTATCCTGATAACTACATCTCTGTACCTGTAACTACTTTACTGTATCCCGATAATTACATCCCTGTACCTGTAACTACTTTACTGTAACCTGATAACTACATCTCTGTATCTGTAACTACATCTCTGTACCTGTAACTACTTTACTGTATCCGATAATTACATCCCTGTACCTGTAACTACTTTACTGTATCCCAATAACTACATCTCTGTACCTGAACTACTTTACTGTATCCCTGTAACTACTTCACTGTATCCTAGTAACTTACACATTTTGTAATAAAAAGTCTAAATTTTTTGCTTGAAAAGTTCATATACATCTGCATCATGATAATGATTGAAAATCAAAGCCATTTCTGGTAATAAGCCTATGGCTAGGCCTTGAAGGTACCATGTTAGAAATAATGTGTTGGCCTCTCTGGCTTTTATATTTCAGGAATAATCATAATATGTATTACCATTTGTAGAATCCCACAAAAGACAGCCAGCTGAACTTTCTGAAAGCAGTAAAACAATGTTAAAAGAGGCAGTTCTTCAACTTATTACTTACCATCAAGATTCTGAAAAAGTCTTCAATGAGGTAAGAACACCAGCTACTGTAGAGACTGATTAATATGGTTCAGGTCATTGATTAGTTTCAAGCCCCTTCCAACTCAGACCCCATCCCACCATCCCGAACTCCTGTGTTAACATTGGGATGGGGTGGGAGGAGGACTACAACAGTTTTGCCTTATGTTCTTCTGTCAGTTATCACTGAAACTTCACGCTTCGGTTGGATATGGGTTCACCTTGTTGAGGTAGTGGTGTTGAGTCTTGAAAGTAGGTCACTTTAACCTACATTTTGACTTTGACTTACATCAATGAAAATATTTTTGTCCATGCTCTACCTCCTACACCACTTACCACTAACTTTATACTTTGGGTATGGGTTCATTTTGGTGAGATGGTATCATTTGTTTAATTTTATTTATTTAGAGGAAGGTCAATCTGACCCACATTTTCACCTTTGACCTACATGAAATAAAAGGTTTGTCTAATTTCTATCTGCTGCAATTGACAGAAAGAATTGTACTAATCGTTAAATTATCTAATTATATTCCTTGCGGGTAATTCAAAGTAATAGCCACAGTAACCTTCTGGGCTAAGGAGAAATTCTCTTCAGCGTGATCGGTTGAGCTTAAGTCTGGAGGTCTGGGGTTTGATTCTTGGCAGAGGCATAGAAAAAGATGTTTTATGATTTTATTGGCATTAAAAGTGTATTGACTAAATCTTCTTCATAATGGTTGTACGGTTCATATTATGGTATTATAATTATAGATATATTGCATAATTTGTATTTCTAGACAACAAGCATTCTACAGGGAGAAAACAGCAAGGACTCAGGTAAATTCCACATGTCATTTTACACCAGTGAAATCTGTTGAGGATTTTCATGTGTTGCTGGTATGAAAAAGCTGAAAAGGAAGTAAGATAAAAAAAAATGACATTTCCATTAATGCTTGCTTCTAAGTCCAGTTTCATCTGCACAGCCATATGGTCATTATTTTACCCTGGGTACTCCAGTTTCCTCCTACAGTATAACAGTACATAAGATCTCTCACACACTTTAATCTGTGCCAATTATAGCGATAAATATAATGTATAACTTTGTTTTGCAGTTGTGAGAAAACAAATCTAATATGATTAAAATATTAAGTTTGATGATTAGTCATTTGATTCTTAGTCATGGCTGACAAAGTATACACACAACCAATAATTTTGTTTTTGTTTTCTACAGCTGCAATCTTGTGTACTTCTGTCCAAGGCCTGGTTTCTCCCTCAGCATCTTATTCTGATTTCCATGCAACAGAAGCTTGTGCCGATAAGATTCTTGTTCTTGCGAGACAAACTTGGACAGCAAAAAACTTCAACATTTTACAGGTGAATGCAAAAAAAATTTGGTTTTACTTTGTTTTGTTGCTGATGCATATCTAGTTCAGATGGAATTCACAAAGTAGACAGGCTAAGGTGAATGCTTTAAAATCATAAATATTTGTGGGGTTTTCATTTTTGTTGAATTTGTTATTACTCTCAATCCACAAATTCAAATGTTCACTAACTTAGAATAAGTGTAACTTCATTGATGGAGCTACATTTTTCTACAAAATTAAATGCCCATGAAAAAACACTCATTCAAAAAAAGTTGAACGTTGAAGATGATTCTAAAGTGAAAGAGAGTTTTTGAAAGTGGAATCAGAATCTTTATATAACAAATATTTAAAAATGAATACTCATCTATGTTGTTTTTTTTTTTTTTTTTTTTTTTTGCAGGCAGAGATTACAGCAGTGGTTATGCTGACTAAAAACATGATGGAAAATCACAACTTACAGAGAGCAAGATATTACCATCTTCTTTGTAAAGAGGTTGGCATTTTGGTATTTGAAATAAGTAATTTTAGGTCAACTGTCCCGAAGGGTTAAGATGATGTGCTTCATTCCTTGTCATCTGTCATCAGCCATGAGTGAACTTTTCTTTTAAAATGCTACTCCTCCTTTATGCCTGTATGGATTTCAACCAAATTTGGTCTGATGCACCATTGGGTTAGAACAATCATTGCTTGTGTTCAGATATTTGAATCAACCCCTAGGGAGCTGGCACAGGGACCTAAAGGAGAAGTTAGACAATATTTTACTTTAAAATCCTACTCCTTAATGCAGGGGTTGGTTTTGCCCAAATTTTGTATGAAACATTATTGGGGTTTGGGAATCACTTCATTAAATTCAGAATATTGACAACTTTAAGAGATATAAAGATGCAAGGTGCTAAATGGGAAATTGACAAATATTTTGCTTCAAAACACTACTATTCCTCAAAGCTGGATTGGATTTCATTCAAATTTGGTTTGAAACATTATTTGCGTTGGAGAACCATTTCTCAAATTCAGAAAATTTATTTGATCACTAGGGACTAAGGTATGGAGCCCATAAAGGTAAAATTACACAGTAAATTGCTTTTAAATGCTACTCCTCCCATTTTGCCTCAATGGATTTCAACTTAATCTGGTTTGATGCATAATTAGGTAAGGGCAATCATTTCTTACATTCAGATAGTTGATTCAACGCCTAAGGACCTGGATACAGGGCACCAGAAAGGAAGTTCAACCAATTTTGCTTTAAAACACTATTTCTTCATAGCCCTAAGGTTGATTTCACCCAAATTTGATCTAAAACATCATAAGGGGTGGAGAATCATTTCTTTAAATTTAGATAGTTGATTCAATCCCTTTGGTTGTGGGATGAGGTCCCAAAGGGAAATTAGACAGTATTTTGTTTTAAAAAGCCTCTCTTCCTTAATTCTTAAATGGTTTTCATTCATATTTGGTCTGAAACATCATGTGGATTGGGGAATCATTTTTCAAATTCAGAAAATCAATTTGATCCTTAAGGACTTAGATGTATTTTGGTTTAAAATGCTACTCCTTAATTCCAAGGGAGGTTTCACCCAAATTTGAGCTGAAATATTGCAGTTGTGATGGCAATGATAACAATCATGATCAAAAGATTGCCCAGACCACAAAAAATGTCTGGAGATTCATTTATTAGGAAAAGAAACATGATATGTTGTTATTTTTCAATCTTATCAAAACTTTGACATAGAAGCCACAGTAACCATTTTGACAACATTTTCTTTACTGTTTTTGTGAACAAAACCTGTCATTTATGACATTCT